GTGATATGTGTAAAAGTATAGGAATAAAATTCACTTTCTGGCTACAAGTCGTAAATATGATTTTAAATCATCAGCTGAAAGAAAATCTGAAGCTTAAATATACTGAAAATGCTGAAGGCGTTATCCCTCTTCTTATCAAAGGAATTTATGAAAACGTGTTGTTACAAAATTGAAATTATTAATATTGGCCCATTGCTTTTATATTCAAATCATTTGTATATAATGTGATTTAGTATCATTAGCATCTAGGAAATCATTTAATTCCTATATTTGTAGATTTTAAATGCGTTGCACCTCCTCAGGTCAAGGAGTTAAGAAAATAACATATCTTAAAATAAACAATATTTAATCATGGCATTCAGTTTTGCTCACCAAACACGCGATGTTGTTACCATCAGCAAAATGAAAACTTGAACAATCAATTAAGGGTGGATTTTAAAAGTGTCGCCCCACTTATGTTCAATTTGATATAGGAGATTATATATTTCAAAATCTCATGAAATTAACAGTTTTGAATCATGGCATTCAGACTCGGCTCTCAAGTTGTGAAATGTAGTCTGGACCAGACAATCCAGTGATCAATAGTATGAGCATCGATCTACGCAATTGGGAACCGATGACATGTGTCAACCAAGTCAGCAAGCCTGACCACCCGATCCCGTTAGTCGCCCCTTACGACAAACATGGGTTACTGAAGACCAATATTATTACCCGGACCTTCACGGGTCGCTGGTCAAGTAGTTAGTGCAACAATATAGTCAAAAATGTCTTAAACATAAACTTCAAATTTCAATACATTGACTTCAAATTACTCTAAAAGGTTTGATTTGCGATTTACTTTTCCAAATCAAAATGAAATATTTTAAATTCTTCATTTGCAGATTTTATTTGTATTCTTTCCAGCTTGTAATAACATTGGTCTTCATACAGTTATTGATCATCAGAGAAAGAACACTTCAATATGCACTTTGAAATGTTTAAATTGTTTTTTCTGTTTGAGGATGTAGTGATGCATGTAATGATATGAGAAAATTCTAATCATAAATAGCAGTCTTGGCCTTCGGCCTTCACACTATATTGATTAACTGGAGACAAGCATCACAGCCAGCAATATTAATTGGTGTTTTATGCTTGAGAGATGACAGTATATGGCATATGCATTTTCTCTTTCTCTGACTAAAATACACTAATATTGTTAGCTGGTTGTTGTAAATCACTACACTCTGCAGTAGTAAAACAATATGATTGTGTCCGGACCGAACAAACCAGTGATTTATATTCTGAGCAGTCATCATCTATAAGGTGTGAGTACGCTGATCTATAAGATGTGAGTACGCTGATCTATAAGGTGTGAGTACGCTGATATATAAGGTGTGAGTACGCTGATCTATAAGGTGTGAGTACACTGATTTATAATGTGCAGATAAGCTGATCCATAAGGTATGAGTACGCTGATCCATAAGGTGTTGGTACGCTGATTTAAAAGGTGCGAGTACGCTGATCCATAACGTGTGAGCACGCTGACCCATAAGATGTTTGTATGCTGACCCATAAGGTGTTGGTACGTTGATCCAAAAGGTGTTTGTATGCTGGTCAAAAAAGTGTTGGTACGCTGATCCATAAGGTTGTACCCTGATCCATAAGGTGCAGGTACGCTGATCCATGAGGTGCGGGTATGCTGATCCAAAGGGTGTTTGTATACTGATTTATAAGATGTTGGTACGCTGATCCATAAGGTGTTTGGTCCCTAGTATGGTGATTTACCTTCAGTTGTTGGCGAACTATAGGCCCATTTTTACTATCTTGTCCTAATTTGAAATTTTAGAGAGAGATGCTAGTTTTAATTCTTGATACTGTGATATTTTAATTGATTTTACTGTCCTTCGTTGATATATTTTTATAATTAACATGTATTTATGATGAATTTACGACTTGTTTTAGTCACGATATGGCTGAAATATTGCCGATGTGACTGTAAACGCTGATCCAAAAGGTGTTTGTATGCTGATCCATTAGGTGTTGCCACGCAGATCCAAAAGGTGTTGGTACGCTGATCCAAAAGGTGTTTGTACGCGGATCCAAAAGGTGTTGGTACGCTGATCCATAAGGTGTTTGTATGCTGATGCAAAAAAGTGTTTGTATGGCGATCCATAAAGTGTTTGTACGCTGATCCATAAGGTGTTTGTACGCTGATCCATAAGGTGAGGGTACAGTAACACATCATGAAGTCATGGACCCGGAGAGCCACAGTAACTTAATGTGAAACACTTAGACTGACATGTAACACTCTGACCTAATATACCATGCTCACACGTCATACACCATACTCAAACTTCACTTGTACCAAACACAATGTACCACTCACACACATAATGTACCACTCACAAACATAATGCACCACCCACAAACATAATGCACCACTCACACACATAATGTACCACCCACAAACATAATGCACCACCCACAAACACAATGTACCACTCGCAAACATAATGCACCACCCACAAACACAATGTACCACTCGCAAACATAATGCACCACCCACAAACATAATGCACCACCCACAAACATAATGTACCACCAACAAACATAATGCACCACCCACAAACATAATGTACCACCAACAAACATAATGTACCATCCACAAACATAATGTACCACCAACAAACACAATGTACCACCAACAAACATAATGCACCACCCACAAACATAATGTACCACTCGCAAACATAATGCACCACCCACAAACATAATGCACCACCCACAAACATAATGTACCACCAACAAACATAATGCACCACCCACAAACATAATGTACCACCAACAAACATAATGTACCATCCACAAACATAATGTACCACCAACAAACACAATGTACCACCAACAAACATAATGCACCACCCACAAACATAATGTACCACCAACAAACATAATGCACCACCCACAAACATAATGTACAACCAACAAACATAATGTACCATCCACAAACATAATGTACCACTCACAAACACAATGTACCACCAACAAACATAATGTACCACTCGCAAACATAATGCACCACCCACAAACATAATGTACCACCAACAAACATAATGTACCATCCACAAACATAATGCACCACCCACAAACATAATGTACCACCAACAAACATAATGCACCACCCACAAACACAATGTACCACCCACAAACATAATGCACCACCCACAAACATAATGTACCACATCCAAACATAATGCACCACTCACAAACATAATGCACCACCCACAAACATAATGTACCACCAACAAACATAATGTACCATCCACAAACATAATGTACCACTCACAAACATAATGTACCACCCACAAACATAATGTACCACATCCAAACATAATGTACCACCCACAAACATAATGTACCACATCCAAACATAATGTACCACTCACACACATAATGCACCACCCACAAACATAATGTACCACATCCAAACATAATGCACCACCCACAAACATAATGTACCATCCACAAACATAATGTACCACTCGCAAACATAATGTACCATCCACAAACATAATGTACCACTCACAAACATAATGCACCACCCACAAACATAATGTACCTCATCCAAACATAATGCACCACCCACAAACATAATGTACCATCCACAAACATAATGTACCACTCGCAAACATAATGCACCACCCACAAACATAATGTACCACCAACAAACATAATGTACCACTCACAAACATAATGTACCACTCACAAACATAATGTACCACCCACAAACATAATGTACCAAATACAAACATAATGCACCACCCACAAACATAATGTACCACCCACAAACATAATGTACCACTCGCAAACATAATGCACCACCCACAAACATAATGTACCAACCATAAACATAATGTACCACTCACAAACATAATGTACCACTCACAAACATAACTTATCACCCATAAACATAATGCACCACCCACAAACATAACGCACCACCCACAAACATAATGCACCATCTACAAAGCCTGAGACATAATGTACCGAAAAGAAGCCACATAAGACACTTCCGTGAAAAAATAGGAATTTATTTCTGATAAATGTAAATATGTACATTGTAAACAACAACAACAACTGAAAACAGACATGAGATAACTTTGAACGATGCGTAGGTTAGCAGGTGTTACATCAAAATTTTCAAGTCATAATGTCGTGACCTAGATCTGCAGTGTGAGGTATCTACGCTGTGATGTAACGCGTGTTATTATGCAAGCAGATTTTTCTGGCTACCTGATTGGTCTAGAGGCGGTCACGTGACCGTTGACAGAAAAGCATCTTGACTCCAACCCAGGTCCGATCAAAAGTCATATTGATCTGCGTTATTATGACGTCAAGCTATGACGTCATTCACGTCAAGCTATGACGTCATTCTATTGTTTACATGTCACAGTATTGTTGACATAACGTTATTGGTTTGTAGTGAAAATAAAATTACTTTTCTTGACTAAATGGACATGTTTTGGATTTTAGAAGCTTTTATTCGGTAGTTACATAATAAAACAATTATACACTGGCGAATCCGGTCAATACCTGTTTTTTATGGACCCGCAAAAAGCAATATTGACCGAGGACGAAGTATTGACCTCATCACCAGTCTATAAAATCTGATCTGCATGGATCAGCATATATATCAGCATGGACTTGTAGGTTTCAAAAGTGAGCAATATGTAAAACGAAAACGTGGACATACAAATACATGTCACCAAACTGTACTCTCTCTCCCTCTCTCTCTCACACACACACATCATAATTCATCACACAGAATACCAGGGTGTTCGATTCCCCTCTTGGGTACAATGTGTGAAGCCCCTTTCTGGTGTCCCCCGTCGTAATATTGCTGGAATATTGCTAAAAGCGGCGTAAAACCACATACTCACTCACTCACTCATACACCAATTCTCTTATTTATAAGCACTAACTACACGTTTAAGTGTAAAAGAGCATTTGGTTGATATTGGCTGATATCTTGTTAATGACAATAAGTCTATGAAGTCAAGTTTCTTGTCTCACAACAGCTGTAAAATAGAAGACCCGACAACTGGTCATCCCCTTGAACGTCACATCGACTCCTGGAGTAAAGTCGACACCTTCACTGTTCAGCCAGGACATGGGTAAAGCCTGGGGATTGTTTCTAGTCTTGCATGTTGAGTAGGCCGTCCCCCCATATTTATCTGTGAGGGACACGCCTATTAGGTCCCCTGCCCTCACACTGATCTGCTCGGACGGGTCCACGTCCACCACCTGGGTCGTGTTATACTCTGTAGTGATCATATTCTGGCCGATGAACGTGTACCTGGAACATACAGTTGGGTAAGTGAGGGAATTGGTGTTAACGCCGAATAGTCTTCGAGTTATTGGAATATTATTTTACGCTTTTTGTGCTTCAATCTATGGATAAAAGCGACAATGTTGACGTCTAGCGGCAGTTTTATGGTAAGACTTGTTTCTGATTGTACTGCTAGGCCACTCAAATACCATTCCACAGTTGCACATAGACGACCGCCTTAGCAACAGCAGAATGATTGCCGAACGTCATGAAGGACCTAGACATTAGTAGCTTGATCATGTATAAGCTACTGACGAACCAAAGTCAGATTGAATCTCGGGATTTCTGAGTTATATGGAGAATGGGTATCACTATTAAATTACACATCTCAATCAAACCATATAGGGTGGGGTGGGGGTTGTGTGATGATTTTAAGGGGGTCACCCATTTTGTTCTGGGGCGGTAGGGGGTCAACAATTTTACATGAAAATAGTAAAAAGAATTATGCTAAAAATTATGGGAAGTGAGGGTGGGGTCATTGATTTTGTACATGACATGCGGGGTGGGGTGGGAGTCACTTACTTTGTACATACATTTTAGGGAGGGTCATTCACATTGTACATGCTTTTCCATAAAAATCATCATCCCCCCCCACCCCATAGCCATAAATTATGAACGGTCCCTTACCGATGTCATCCAATCACAAATCTATTTTGGATTTGACGTTACTCTGATTTGTACGTAGTCTTTGTGTGACGTCACACACGGTCCGCCAGTCTTGGGCGATCTGCAGATGTACACGGCAGTTGCACACAATAGGTGGCTGTATATTGTCAGATGACTACAACCCTAGGCTCGTGCAACGGATTGTACAGCGTTAAGCCTACCATGGCAACCTCCCCTTGTAGATTTGCAAGTCGCACCATATACCCTTTTTTATTAAACTTCAGGGCTCGATTTAAGAGATGTTAACCCACTTGCGCCAGGTGCAACCTAAGATGAAAACCTAGTTGCACCAGTCAAATTCCAGTTGCACTGTTTTTATTGCAAAATGTAATATCAGAAATATGCTATTGAATTATTTAGATGTTTTATTCAGAAGTAAACCCACTCAAAAATTGACTTGCACCTGGTGCAAGTTAGACTCATAACTAGGTTGCACTTTGTTATATTGGGTTGCACCAGTGCAAGTAACAAAGCACTGAATCGAGCCCTGAACTTACAAAGTTGTGTTTCACGCTCTATGACAACATTTTTCAGGTCGGTCGCCAAAACCATGGTCAAAAAGCCTGCATGTCATTGCGGTATATTTGGCTCAAGACACTAAGAAGACTCTCAAGTCTCATGAATTCCCGTCCTCACATGTACTACAAATTATGTGGACGTCACGTTTCCAATTTTGTTGGATGTATTTCTAAAATCTTGCTTTTGCGAGGTCTATGTAAGTGAGTGTAACTTTATACCGCTTGGAACATTATTTCAGAAACAGCATGCAGCTAAACTGTGGAAAGTAGCAAATGGTGAAGCATGTCTGGGACATTTTCCACTTGTGTTGACAAACCAAACATTGATACGGGACATCAATACTACCATTATAAGTTCCTGGTATGCATAAGGGACGCAACTCTGCGAATTATGACGACTTTTCCCCTTCCCCTGAATGGTCAAGAAATAAGGCTACATACGTGTATCCGCCGACAGGTCGCCACACCTGTAGGCCGATCCTGCTGATATTTGGCGAAAAGAACTGCCACTGAGCTAGCGAGCCATTGACGCGGATCCGGAAGTAGGCGTTGTTTCCGGTATATACGCGGTTAGCAATGGTGATGATGTGGGCGGAAGACTGGATTGGGATTTCATTCGTGCGTGATAGCTCTTGGTACGTCTGAAGCAAAAGAATTTCATTTCAGTTTTCATTGCTTTCGTTTGGTTGCAAACGCCATAATCAGTAACACTCCAGCTATATCACTGCAGTATTTATCATTCGTATGGACCACACAATCTGGTGACTGACAACATATGCATCGATCTACGCAATTTCATCAGTTAAACTTAGGGGTGTGACCACCAGATCGTCTCCTGACCATTTCTAACCTAAAGCGCTCTCAACAAATAGTAAACAACTGAGGACAATAAACACATAACACAAATATTATTTTTTCAAGGGAGGCTAGATTCATCACACACTGCCGTGCGAAAGAAAGATTTGTTTGCTTGCATTTTAACGCCGCACTCAGTAATATTCCATCTATGTGGCGGCGGTCTGTAAATAATTGAGTCTGCACCAGAAAATGCAGTGGTCAACATCATGAGCATAGGTCAACGCAATGTGGGATACAATGACATGAACTGTGTCAACCAAGTCAGCGAGCCTGACCACCCGATCCCATTAGTCGCCTCTTACGACAAGCATGGGTTCCTGACAACCAGCTCTAACCAGGATCTTCACGAGTTGCGACAGAAAGAAGTACAGCATGGTTGACGGTGCCGGTTGAAATTCCAACAAGAAATTCGATATTTGATATATAGAGGATACTAAACGACCTTCCGTGTCATACCATTTTTATGAAACGGCTCAATGATTTGGTATCAAACGAGCGAAAGCGAGTTTGATACTAAATCTTTCACTAGTTTACTAAAAATGGTATTTCTCGAAATCCAGTTTAGTATTCTGTTTATTCCTCTCTAACAAAAACTGATAGAAACTGCCTGCAGTGTGATGACTTTCAGCTTTCCGCGAGTCAGACATTTACTTGTCGGAAGCACTCTCTGTAAAAAAATATCCCCACCTCCAACACTCCTCGAACCCTACATAAGGGCGGTGGGATAGCCCAGTGGTTTTAACCTCCGGGTTCAATGTGTGAAGCCCATTTTCGGTGTCCGACGCCGTGATATTGCTGGAATGTTGCTAAAACGGCGTAAAACCATACTCACTCACTCCTCAACATCCAATGGTCTGTCCATAAACTGACCTTATTGACGTAAGCAGTCAAGGAGAACGTCCTGCACGTGGGACTAGTCCAGTTATAGACCGTGTCCACTTCAAAAAATGCCGCCGTCGTAATGTGTGTGTCCAGAGTAAGGCTGTTCTCTCCTTCCGGGTACCCCTCAACTCCACAAGCGTTCCATGTGATTTGTGTCGCAATATGACCCGACCAGATACCGATGAGGTCGCCTGGCATTACCTGGATTCTGCTTCCGAGAGGAACGTCAACAATGTTGACCCTGTCAGGTTCGTAGTAGACCAAGTTTTGTCCAATAAACTGAAATCTGTAGAAAAAAGGTATATTCGTAAAATTTCCAATCCACAAAGTGTTCGTAATGTTAAGAGCTGTCGTAACTGTGTAGTTTGTCATAGGCTAACGCACAACGTGAACGACCCCAGGCGTTATTTGGAGACGATTCTTAAATACACGTAAAAGTGTTAACTCTTTTCTACATAAATTTTTAAAAAAAGTCTTTTTGTGTTTGCTTAACGCCGCACTGTGCAATATGACGGCGGTAAATAATCAAGTCAGGGTCAGACAAACCAGTGATTGGCGTTAAGAGCACCGATCTACGCAGCAATGATACAATGATATGCATCACTGGCCAAGCCAGCGAGCCTGACCACCCGATCCCGTTAGTCGTCTATTACGACAAGCTTGGGTTGCTGAAGACCAATCCAGACTTGCATATTCACAAGCCATCAGATGTATTCATTCGGCATTACACAAGAAGGTAAAGAGGAATTTATGGGTTTTCAGGAACGTTTCAAAAAATCACTTTCGCTCGCGCTTTTGGACATAGTCAGAAATTTGCCGTTTTTGAAAATGTAATTTATGTAAACTAAATTGCATGTGTATAAGTAATACTTATGTTTTGCCAGCCACATGATAATAAAGATTTTTATCTAGCACATTAAAACAATACTGACGCCTCCAATAGGCCAAAGTGTACTCTTATTATATCCCATTATATACATATAAACATTTGTAAAAATGCGTTATCACTGGTAAAATCCACACAACTTCTGTTTAAAATACATACATAACACATTTGTAAAAATCCATAAGATAGGTAAATGTTCAGAAACTTTCACTTTCTACATACATTTTGACATCAAATTGGTCATTTTTTGTCTGATAGTGTGTAACTCCGAATTTCAACAACTATCATATTGAAATAGCTACAGTTGACTAGACGAAGGTAGTTTAAATCATTATGGCTTACTGAACGGGCCCAATATCTGGTCGTGGACGCCATATCTGAAGAACAGTACTTCCGGCATCGCGCGTGTAGAACCGCCATTGGACTATCTCCCCTTCTCGTTGAATGCGATGTAAGCTGTTGTTGCCGATGTAAGTGGTGCTGACTTGGCAGATTTGCGTACGTTTGACAATGTCAATGTCGCTGACGGGAGTGACGCGTTCATTTTCATCTGAAGAAAATCAAGATTGATATTACATTGTGATATATTCAATCATTCACTCATTTTTTTCAATCAGTAGTATTTTATACGATTCCAATTAGTGTTACTGACTATGGAGAATAGGCGGGTTGGGGTGGCAGCCTAATGGTTTATACATATGTCTGGGTTCGATTCCCGCATGAAAGTAATGCCTGTCGCCAATCGTCGATGTTCAAAGCCGTGTCAGACAACGAAGTGTGACGAGTATTTGAATTTCCTGGCGCGAGGGAACATGAACGATGAGCTATGTGCAGGGTATGAAACTCCCAAACATTTCAGTCATACCACAGGGCTGGTTACCAGTAAAACTTGCCAGCCCTGACCAAAACTTACCTGCCCGCAAATAATCTAGGTTTGACAAGCGACGTAGTATCATTCAATTGGACTTCATCATATATTTTAACGAGTGAATCAATAATCATTTAGTATCCTGAATTATGATGAATATCTTCATATACATGTCTAAATTTTAACCCGACTGTCGGGCAGGTGTATTTGAGAATTTGTCTGTGTTGAAAATAACCCGACCCGGGCGGTCGGGCAGGCAGGCAGGTATTGCGAACGCCATGTGTGGCTAAAACGACAGAAATGTGGCCTGGAGGTACGTTCGACCCATTTAAACTGTGTATCGTCCACGTTATTGAGAGAAAGAATTCTGTGCCGGATTATTCACGACTTTCGTTTCAGGCCATCATTACGTTTTACTGAAATGATACGAAAGTCAAGTCCATGTGCTCCGCGTTTTACTAGAAGCTAACGTAAGTCGGGACTATGAGTAAAACGTTTCACTTGAAGCAAGTCGGGAAAGGTTTCACCTGAAGCAATGTAAGTCGGGAAAGGTTTCACCTGAAGCAATGTAAGTCGGGAAAGGTTTCACCTGAAGCAATGTAAGTCGGGAAAGGTTTCACCTGAAGCAATGTAAGTCGGGTCCCTGAGTAAAACGTTTCACTTGAAGCAAGTCGGGAAAGGTTTCACCTGAAGCAATGTGAGTCGGGAAAGGTTTCACTTGAAGCTAACGTAAGTCGGGTCCCTGAGTAAAACGTTTCACTTGAAGTGCACTGACATCAGGTAGACATCAAACATGTTTAACAGGAAATGAATATAATCAGGCGCATACTGGAAACTGTTTTAAAACTTCGCAGTAATTGTAAAAGTATGGTCTAAATGTACAACATGGCCTAATCTTATGAGTCAGAAACAGTTGGATATTTGACTCACGATAATGTCTTGTTGGTTTGAAACGGAAACCTGGGAACACACCGCTTGTACTGTATGTATACATAGATCATTTATTAAATAGTGTCTGCAGTTTATATAATAACGTGAAATAGGCTTACCAACGCAGACTGGTTCTGTCCCCGAGAGCCAACCGCTTTCTTCGCATATTCGGCTGAGCTGCCCGCTTACCAAGACGGTTCCCGGTATACATGTGTACGTGATGACGTCACCACGAGGAATGTATTTGAATGTGACGTCACTGACTGGATCCACGTTCATTGGGGGTGTTGGGAGTTTGCAGAATGGCGCTAGAAAGAAGGAAGGTATACCTCAAGCTAAAAAAGTTACTTGTAGAAAGTGATCTAAACCTATGGTTACTTTGAGACATTGACATCTAATCCGGCCTCACATTAGGGTCGGTCCGGAAATCGGAAACACAAGTATTTCGCTTTTGGAACAATTATGTAAGTCCCAGATACACTGAAGTTTCTTTCTCTAGGTCTTTCTTTGCAATATTGCAACTATATTACGACCAAAAACCGTCCCTAGACCAGAAAATCAAGTGATCGACACTACCACCATCACTCATCAGATGGGATACGATGGAAAGCCGTCTAAAACGCCATCGCGCCTGACCACCCGAACCTAAAAGATAGGTTGCTGGGGAACTATTTTCTACCCACTATCTCTGCTAGTAGAGGGGTTAAATAGACAACGGGGGTCAGGTATACGTCACTCAACACCGAACTCACTGGTGTATGGCAGGCAGAACCCGCAGGAGAAGGGACACTGGTGGCGGGCAAACTGTGGGTAGTCCCGGCAGACGCGGGGGTTCCTTCTCAGTACAGCATGGCAGTCCCACCGCTGGTTAATACACGCACGTCGACCTACAGGACATAACACCGTTCAGTTTACAATACAATAGACCGCTGTCAAAAACAAATAAATATGCAAAGATTGTTGTAACGTTGCCGTGTCAGTGTGAACAGAGACCATATAATAGATTATATGGTCTCTGGTGTGAAGCTGTTTTTCAGATAATAATAACATTTTCTTCTTCGCTAAATAGAGAATGCCATGGGCAGAGCTACCTCGATCAAGCTTCGGTACAATAGTATATTTGTACTTGTACATTTTAGCCGGTAGTGTCGAACAGACGAAAACGAGAATGTGGTTCAATAGTTTAGTACAACTAATTGTTCACTGGGTCCGATTCCGCTTAGTCATCTTTACGCCACGATAGTGTTACAAAAGTCGCTTTAGGCGGGTAATTTGAGATCTAGAGAACTACGGAAATGGATACAAGGGTTAGAAAGGCTTGCAGATATCACAATTGTTGCTATATATTTTAGATCTGTTTCCAAAAATAAAACACACTATACAAATTGTTCACTGGTCACGAGGGGGACATGGATTGATGTTACTCGCTTGTAAGTGGGGTACATTAAAAGTAACAGAAGAGCGCTCAGCCAATCAGAAAACGACATTTATGTGTGAGGTAAGATAATAGTTCCCGTTCAATATAACGTTATTGTTATTCTTTGATAAACGAATGACGTCAGTAGACGTTTTAGACCCTTGTGGGGACGATGCACGTGTGTGAAAGCTTGCGTCTTGACGTGCAGCCTGCCGTTTTCACCAATCGGTACCTCGTGGTAATGCTACAGGTTTGGTATTCTCCTTGAGGTGATCTGTTTTCGTCACCAAAATACAAATCCAGTCTATCAGGTGTACACTGAATATATTGTCTGTAGTTGCGCAAACTGAGATCTTTTAACATAAACAAAAAGGTGATGCTGTTGTTTTATCGTTGTTTTGTTGAAAGTATTTTAACCTTTTCAATTAAATTCTGGTATGGCGCTCTTAATATCAAAAGCAAATCTTATCTCAACAAAATCATTTTAACTGCAAGTAAAATCTCTGGGGTGTCTGTTTCGGATTTATCTTCTATTTCTAAATCCCGTGTTCTTAACCTTGCTGGGCGAATTTTATATGATTCCAGCCAGGTTTTATTTTCTGAATATAATTTTTCCCCGTTTTAAAACAAAAAGAGTTCAAAATCATTTCATTCCAGCATGGATTCGCCTTTTAAATGACTGTTAACTTTATTTGTCTTATGTGTTGTTTTGTGTTTTCTTAATCCTTATGCCATTTTTAAAATTTAATTATGTGATCACTTTCAAATGTAAAAAGAATTCCCCTAGGATAATAAAGTATTGTCATTGTCAATGTCTTAGTCATTGTTGAGTTTGTTTGTTTGGTGTGTAACGCCGCACTCAGCAATATTCCCGCTATATGGCGGCGTCTGTACATAATCGAGTCTGGACCGGACAACCCAGTGATCATCAGCATGAACATCGATCTGCGCAATTGGGATACGATGACATGTGCCAACCACCCGATCCCGTAAGTCGCCTCTTAAGACAAGCATCGGTTGCTGAAGACCAATTCTAACCCGGGTCTTCACAGGCTCTGTTGTTACCATCAATATAACTGTTGTTAAGATCCTACGTGTGAACGTTGAATACTTACTATTGGGCATATATTTGCAGACAAACGGACGCACGCCATTACAATTCTCCTCCCGTATGGTGTTGTCCCGTTCCTCGGGATTTATCATTAAACAAATCTTCGGTGCCTTAATTCTGGGAGCCCCTGAAAAAAATACAATATTCCCATTAAAACTACAATTTCAAGTAAATGATATTTAGAAAAAATAAATAAAAATATATTTGCCAATTTCTATTACAGTGAAGGTAGAGGTCACGACCTACCGCTAGCCCAGTTTGTCAAGGTCAGTTTGGAGCCATCTGTGTTCGTCCAGACGTTCGTTACGCTCTCTCTGCTGGAGCCAAGCCATATCCGCCATAATTTTTGTCTGCAATAGTATCAGATGTCAGTACCGTTAATGGACGATATCATGAAGATACCTTACAGAACAATTAGTGAGGTGGGTTCAACGCCGTTTTGGGTAGTTATCTGGCTGTTAGGGTGTCAATTTAATGTGGTTGTAAAGCCTGAAGTGTTGCTAGTCTGAGCCGTGTATCTTGAGCATGGGTATAATGCTGACTATCTAGATTCGAAGCATCATAGGTTCCTGGTGTACCAAATGGAGGCAACTCGGCACAGTGATTGGGCCACAAATGCCACCCACAGAAACACGAATCCATCATTCATTTATTTAAACACAATATTTGAGCCTGTTACCTCTGTTACAGTGCATATATTTCTTCATACATTTTTATATTTTTCACAAATTATTCATAACAAAGAAAATTCGTATACGTTCAAGTTGCAGTGCATAGTGTGTCTTGTTTATAGCCCCGCGTATCAAGCGCAGTAGTAGGCAATTAGCAAACGCGTCCACGCCAACCTTAAACTAATTAATCAAAGATGAAGCTAGCGAGCTGTGTCGGCTCCGGCCTTTCTTCTCGGGTACATCCCTTGGTCAAAGCACAGATAAGTAGTCCCATCCCAGCAGGAGCATGTCTACCACCAACTAAGTCGTAATCGAAAATCAACTTTTGATGAACAAGATCGAGATTACCATCATGCCATCCTCTTTGTCCTGTCGTAAATGCCATGGTCAGGCGCTGACAGATATTTTGTTAAGCAGCTGGCGCAAGCTGACCGTGGCTACACCACAAAGAAAATCAAACCTTGTTAGGTAATCATCTTCTTACCACCAACCTCGTGTAGTATACTTTGTCAGCATAGGGTAGATAACGCATATGGAAACTTCAACTTTATAGAAACTTGATAATGACAAACGAGCAGAGCTGTGGGGTATAAAATCCTGGGTTCTTCCATCTCAGGCACACTTGCTTGAATAAACCCTGGATCTCATAGCTCTGGCTCCTTTCTTGTTTCAAGGTAAGAAACATTTAAACTTATTCTTGTTTAACTTGTTATTTCTTTGTAATTATCGTCTAGAAAATGTTAGAGTTAGGTTAGAAACATTCCTACAACATTGAAGCACTTTGTCATTGCAAATGCTAGCTCTAGATAACCGATTAATTATTAGGCACTACCCAGGGATATCTATTTATGCACATTGCGTCGTGGGCTCCTCAAGTTTATGTTTTTCATGTACAAACGAATAGTTCTTTTCTATGTTTCGACACACATGAGTGTATTCCCAGTCTTTTGTCTTGTTTTATTCATTTGCGTGTTAGTTCTGTATATGCAGGTTAGATTCTCGTTCAGTAGTCTAGATTCTAGTAGCTTAGTCACAAAAACAGTTCCGAGAGTTTATACAATCAATTCCAGCAAAGACGAAGTTTATGTATTTTACTATAGTCCGCCGATCAAATGATATTCGTGTAGATTTACCTCAGATACGCGCTCACATGATAGGTATAACAGCCAACATTTGTGTTTTGATATTTCACCAACACTATAAGAATTTGAATAATGATGTATTAAACGTTCCGTTCCGCGTGCAGTTGTATACCGTACAGAACAGTTTATACGCGAATCACATTACCGTAATCAGTAGAAAATGGTATTGTCTACTCTTCATATTACCAGAAAATATACATTCAAATCCGTGTAGTTTGCAATTACAGTCTTCGTTCCGTATTGGTTTAGCTCCGTAATTTAAGAAATTCGCGTAGCCAATAACAACAGCGCCGTCCTGGTACATTATTACATATTCATTTAACTAAGTTACTGTCTTGTTTTGTAAAGCACAAAAATGTAGCACTACAGCATTACATATATTCTAGGTCATGGCTTAACTCCGTATATGTCGATATTACACGTTGCCAATAGCAACATCGCCGTTGAAATACATTTACCGTAGTCACCCAAATAATTCAGGATGGGACAAAGTAGTAGTACTCTAGCTAAAACTATATCGTCTGTCCCCGTAGTTACACATATTTATATCACTCTCTAGTTCCACTTACCGTATCTACCGAAATTATTGTATTGAGAAAATATATGTTAACATTACAGTTAGAATGCGTACAGTCAATACCGGAGTTAAATGGTATATGTCAATTCTGAGCACTTCGCGCCGTTTACCGTATTTGCTCAAGGCATGTTTGTTGATAACGGAAATTACTTACACAAGTCATAAATCGTTACCGTAGCTAATGCATTAAGCGCGACATACCGTAATATTAGTAAATTCCTACCGTAGTCAATACACTAAGCGCAACATACCCTAATAGTCATAAATTCCTACCGTAGTTAACGCAATAGGCACTACATACCGTAATTGTCATAAATCGCTACCGTAGTTAACGCATTAGGCGCAACATAACGTAATAGTCATAAATCCGCACAACAGTTAATGGACTAGGCACTACATGCTGTAATTAAACTGTTGGGCGCTCCACTCAGTACTTGTTCTTTGCAATTGTTGTTGATGATTAATTTATCCGTCAGGTTATGTTATTTATCAGTACCGTAGTTACTCAAGAAAATGTTGTATTATTTGTATTATGTTTCTGTAAGCAGTTACCGTACATACCCTGTTGTACCACACATGGCTTATATTACCGGACTTAGATATAAACTGTATTAGGATATCATTGATTATTATTTCTATTATTGTATGTCATTATTATGTATGAACTGATGTATATTGAATGTCATGCAAGGACACTTGCTTGAATAAACCCTGGATCTCATAGCTCTGGCTCCTTTCTTGTTTCAAGGTTTCAAGGCTTGCTCCCTATAGCTAATTCCCCAAATCGAGGCCTGACAGCACCTTTAGCACACATAGCGCTAAAGGTCGTCCTAACAGACCATAAGGCTGTCTTAATTGGTGGAGACGTTCGATCCTCGATGCCTGGAGCCAACCCTGAAAACTACAAGTTGAGACTGCGCAGTTTCCGTGAGAAGTTCCAAACACCTAAGCCCCCAACACCATCTCCACAGACCAATACAACAACACTATGTCAGACGACACCATCACCCACTTTATCAACGGATGAGACAAGGTCAGACATCACATCACAGACCCTTGACAGTTCGCCTCAATGCACCCAGCAACATCCCACAACAAAGGCGCAAGTACACCTTCCAAAATACAATGGACAACAGGATGCTGAAAGTTGGTGGGCAGATTTTGCCAACTTTAACATCCTCCATGGACATTCAGACTACATCTCCTGTAGAATTTTGCCATTCTACTTGGACGACGCTGCAAAGGTATGGTTTCTCTGCCTGCCTAAAACCACACAACGCGACATGCAGTCACTGAAGGCAGCCTTCAAACAACGTTTTCGGCGTTCCTTTGACGTGGGTCTTCTACACATGGTACAGAAGGAGCAGGAAACGATAGAAGACTACATCACCAGGGTGCAATCATCCATGTTGCACTCCACATTGCCACAATCTGTGATAGTAGCTATTGCAATCAATGGGCTACTTCCACAGATTAAGCAGTGGGTGTACACGAAGGAGCCAGCAACCCTGGACGAGGTTCGCCACCAGGCACAGCTGGCTGCACAGTCGCAGGCTCCCAGCACAGCAGAGGTCGGCTTGGTCCAACAAGTTGAACAATTAACAAACTTGGTGGCCATGCTGATCACAACAAACAGGGCCTGTGCTGTACAGTCAGCAACGCCTTCAACTGGTCTACAGCAGCAAGAGCCCTGGGAACACCACCACAGACAACAGACACCTTCCCCAGCAACACAGCAACAGTACCAACCACCACAATCACCACCACAGCAACAGCAGCAGCACCAACCACTACCACCACCACAGGAACAGCAGCAGTACCACCCATCACCACCACCACCACAGCAACAACAACACCAGCCATCTCCACAGCAGTACCACCCAGCACCAAACCAGTATCAAGCCTCACTTCATCAACCATACAGCTCAGCGCAGCAACACCCACCACCCAGCCCCAGCAGCCGACTATCGACTCCACAGCATCTTCAAGGCAGATGTCGCAGATGTGGTGAGTTTTTTCGGTTCCCTCACAATTGCCCTCATAGAAACACAATATGCAGGTACTGTGGTATAACTGGTCACCATACTAAAGTTTGCATGCGTGCATATTATGCTCAAGGCAGTCAGTCACAAAAAAGCATGCACGCCTGATTCTCAACATTCTGGGGTCAGGCAAGAGTCAGATTTTGTATCGCTTGTGGCACCCTTGACAAAGAACACTGTTCATGTCAAGGTGAAAGAAGTCAGAACTATAGCTCTTGTTGACACAGGTGCCTCAGTTAGCTGTGTCAGCATGGGTTACTTACGCAAGATAGGTATCAAACCCTTTCATTTAGGTCCATCTCACCTCACTGAAATCATTGGTGTAGGAGGTGAAAAACACTCTGTGCTAGGTTCTATCTCTCTTGACATCAACATAGGTCACATCTATCTCTCTCAAACCTTTCATGTTTTCCATAACCTACATCACTCACTCATCTTAGGCATTGACTTCCTTGAGTCCAACAAAGTCACCATAGACCTGCCCTCAAAGTGCTTACACATACACGAAGGTCTTGTGTCTGTCTCTCTGGCATCAATCAATGGAGGTTATGTAAGGCCATACAAATCTGTTGTCATTCCCCCACACTCTCAAGCTGACATTCCCATCAAAATTTCTCATTGTCAACAAGGTCAAGTTTTTCTCTTGGAACCCGTCCCAACGCTAAATGACATGGAGCTCCAAGGTGCCAAATGTCTCATAACAAACCATCCCAAATCAGTTTGCATGAGATTACTTAATGCAAGTGACAGCCATGTCACACTGTTTTCTAAATCTGTCATTGCTGTTGCCTCAGAGATTGACCCTACATCTGTCCTTGACCTCCCTGACGCGTCTGATTCTGACTCTCCTTCTACAAGTGCTAACACAACACATTCACAAGACATTGAGTTTGATCTCAGCGATGCTGATCTCACACAGGAACAACGAAAACATTTACATGCATTTCTACAATCACAAAGGTCTGTTTTTGCCACAGATTTGTCAGATTTAGGACACACTCACTTACATCATCACAAAATAGATACAGGTGATGCCAGACCCATTAGACTCCCTTTTTACAGGCAAAATGCAGCCATTAGGAAAGAATGCTCTAGACAAGTACAAGAAATGTTAGAAGCTAATATCATTCAGCCTAGTTCTTCTGAGTGGCACTCTCCTGTTGTCATGGTTAAAAAACGTGACTCTTCTTACCGTTTTGCCGTAGATTATAGACGCCTCAATGCAGTTACCAAGCCCATATTTTTTCCTCTACCACGTTTTGAAGATGTTGTTGATGCTGTAGGCGATAGCCATGCCAAAATTTTTAGTGTTCTTGACTGTGCTAGTGGCTTTTGGCAAATACCACTTCACCCCCGAAACAAAACACAAATCAGCATTCATTACACCTGATGGCGTGTTTGAATGGAATCGCCTCCCCTTTGGTCTCAAAAATGCCCCAATGGCTTTTCAGCAAACAATTTCAGAGGCACTAAAAGAAATGAATTGGCGTTACATATTGATATATGTTGACGACATCATAATATTTTCCAAAACCTTTTCGAACATCTGAGTCACCTCAAGGCAGTATTTCAAAAGATCAGAGAAGCAGGCCTCACTCTAAAGCCCAGCAAGTGTAAATTCGCCACAAAACAAGTCACCTATTTAGGTCATATCTTCAGCAAAGATGGCATCCATGTTGATCCTTCAAAAATAGATTCGGTCACACAAATCCCACCTCCTAAAAATGTCCATGATGTGCGCCATTTCTTGGGCTTGGCATCATATTATCGCAAATTTGTGGCCAACTTTTCTGGTATAGCCTCCCCACTGTTTAACCTTCTGAAAAAAGATGTGTCATTTGAATGGTCTGACCATTGTCAACAGGCATTTGAAAAGCTGAAACAAGCTCTTACAACTGCACCTATCCTTGCATACCCTGACCAAACAAAGCCCTTCATACTCACAACTGATGCATCACAAACTGCAATAGGGTACATTTTAGGCCAACTTGATTCACAGGGCAGAGAACGAGTAATCTGTTATGGTGGTCGCTCTCTCCACACTACAGAAAAGAATTGGGGAATCACACATTTAGAATGCCTAGCCGTCCTAGAGGGTATCAAAAACTTCAGGGTGTATCTTGCCAATGGTTCATTTTCTGTCTACACAGACCACAAGGCTCTTACTTGGCTAAAGAAAACGAAGCATGACTCTGGTCGACTTAGTAGATGGTCCCTGATGCTGCAAGAATATGATTTTGAGATTATACACAGACCAGGCAAATCTAACACAAATGCAGATGCCCTATCTCGCATTGCACATGCAGAACAGGTACATGAACCCAACACTGAAGACATACCTTCCCCACCCATTTCAACAAAACCAATCTCTTCACCATGCCAATATGCACAGGTAGCTGCCACTGCTTCCTCTCCACTCTTACCCACTCCAACTTCACATACCACATCCCAGTCAAGCAACCCCATCAAGCAAGTGTCATTTCTACACCCCGAGAGCAACATGAGGTCTACAACCTCGACTGCCTCCTCTCAACATTATGCTCATTCTAATGCAGGCATCATGAGGTCTACACCCTCGACTGCCTCCTCTCAACATTATGCTCAATCCAATGCAGGCATCATGAGGTCTACACCCTCGACTGCCTCCACTCGCAATTCTTCCCATTTTAATGCAGGCAACATGAGGTCTACACCCTCGACTGCCTCCACTCGCCATTCTACCAATTTCAATGCAGGCAACATGAGGTCTACACCCTCGACTGCCTCCACTCGCCATTCTACCAATTTCAATGCAGGCAACATGAGGTCTACACCCTTGACTGCCTCCACTCGACACTCTACCCATTTTAATGCAGGCGACATGAGGTCTACACCCTCGACTGCCTCCACCCGCCATTCTACCAATTCCAATGCAGGCAACATGAGGCCTACACCCTCGACTGCCTCCACCCGCCATTCTACCAATTCCAATGCAGGCAACATGAGGCCTACACCCTCGACTGCCTCCACCCGCCATTCTGCCAATTCCAATGCAGGCAACATGAGGTCTACACCCTCGACTGCCTCCACCCGCCATTCTCCCAATTCCAATGCAGGCAACATGAGGCCTACACCCTCGACTGCCTCCACGCGCCCATATGCACATTTGGCCTCAGGCAACACGAGCTCTACACGCTCAAATGCCCCCTCTCATCCACATGCTCTTTCAAAACCAGGCAACATGAGGTCTGCACCCTCGAAAGCCTTATCGCACAAACATCAACAAGGTCGACAATTCATGTCTCGTCCCTCCAGTCAACTAGTGTCTACATGTTCGGACAAATTATCTCTGTCCTCTCAAGACACCATTATACAGCACACTCATCACGCCATCACACTCAAGTCCAAAACTACATCACATTCAAATACTGACAATCCACGACTTCATTCACACAATGTTTCTACAGAAGACACCTGCAGAGATGACGTGTCATCCTCTATATCTGTAGACTTTGTCTACAAATCAGGTCCAACCCCCCCCCTGGTCCTATGGTTTTCACTATAGGCACTGATCTAGACGATGAAGGCTTGGCAGAAAAACAACGTAAGTCATCAGACCTTCGTCCAATCATTGACTACATTGAGAAAGGTGAAATTCCCTCCACCTATACAGATGCTCAAGTAAAGGGTCTAGCAGGCCTTTCTCAGGAGTATGACATTCGTGACGGTATTCTGTACCATTTCTATCATGCCAAGCATAGAGGTCAGAAAAACAACCGCCCTCCCATGGTCACGCAGCTAGCTGTCCCCGTTTGCTGTCGCAAAGAGCTTCTTTTTGCTTACCATGATTCCAAAGCTGGTGGTTGCCACTTTGGACGAGACGCCACACGTCAAACAATACTCACTAAGTATTATTGGCCAGGCCTATACCAGGATATTGAGAATTATATCAAGTCCTGTGATGACTGTCAACGCTCCCAAAAGAAGGACAAATGCCAAGCCAGCACCAATGGTGCCTATGCCTATTGAGGACACATTCTCTCGTGTCCATGTTGACATCCTTGGTCCACTACCTGAGACTAAAGAAGGCTACAAATATGTTCTCCTTGCCGTTGATTCCTTCTCTCGCTGGACTGAAGGTTTCCCAATGCGCACTCAAGAAGCATCTGAGGTTGCATCAATCCTGTTTAATGAGGTGTTTTCACGATTTGGTGCTCCTCATTCACTTCTTACTGACCGAGGTAGGCAGTTCACTTCCAAGTTGGTAAATGCCCTCTGTGAACTCTTGGATATCAAGCACTATTACACTTCGTCCTATCACCCCCAAACCAATGGCATGTGTGAACGGAGGAATAGTGTAATAGAACAGGCTCTCCGAACATATGCTGACCCTGATCAAACCAACTGGGCCAAACTCATTCCATGTGTAATGATGGCCATGCGCAATGTACCTTGTCAATCAACTGGATATTCGCCACACTACCTTCTGTTTGGGAAGGAAATGAATCTCCTTTGACACTACCTTACTGCCCAAATCTACTCTTGGCAAGGATGCACAGGGTCATCTGCAAGATCTCTTAACAAACCTCAGTGTGGCTAAATCACTTGCAAAGGACAACATGTCTGCTGCACAGGACAAAAGCAAGGGTCTTCAGGATATCAGATCCAAGGAGCCTTCCTACTCTGTTGGCGATCAGGTTCTAATGACTGATCCCACAGTCAAAACCGACCTTTCACCCAAACTATCAAAGAAATGGATAGGGCCTTACAGAATCATTCGCATTGGTCTAAACCACACATACAAACTCATGAATGCAAGCACAAACAAGGAACATAAATCATTCATACATGCCAACAGACTCAAGCCTTATACACCTCCCACTCCTCGTATGCAAGTGTCACAACCCACCCAGCATCTGGCAACACCTACTCAGTCAACATCCTCCCAGCCTGACAATGCACATAGACAAGGCTCACAAACAGCTACTCCAACTCCGTCAACAGCCTCACAGCCAGACAATCTTATCACAACACAGCACATGTCAAGCCAAGAACAAGATAATGAACCAGACAACACACACCCATCATCTTCCCAACAAGATGATCAACTGTATGCGGTAAAACGCATTCACAAAGCCAAAAAGCGATCAGGAGAAACCCATTACTTAATTGAATGGGAAGGTTACCCACAGCGTACCTGGGAACCAGCCTCTAACCTTAGTCCTGAAATGATAAGTGATTACCACACTTACAGAACCCGATTGGGCCACAGACGAAAACGGAAGCACAAATATTTTGCAAAATCATAGATCATGACCTTCCATGGTATTCCTCCTGAAAACATGTCATCTTCGGTCAAGGTAGATGAGCTCTGACCAACCCTTACAGGTAATCATATTACCTTGTGTTTTATAGTGCTACGCTGTGAAATGTTGCGGCCACAACTTTCCTGCATTATGGTCATCCCATCTGACTTGTCCCTTGGTTTCTTTTTGTCGTAGGTCCATCATGGGGAGCCACTATCCTATCGTTACTGCTGCTATTTGTGAATCCTGCCCTGGCTGAAAAACCGATCCAGCGACTAAATTATGGGGTACTGTTTAAGCCATCAACCCCTGTCCATTTTGCAACCGAATACTGGCTTCACACATATGAGATTAGGCTACCATCTAACCCAACCATCCCTTCCTTGTCAACATGCCCCACTTCAAATGCTACATGCCTTCTCATCCAACAAATTCAAACACACCTTCTTTCTCTGCAAACCAAATGTATCTCACACCTCAACACAACGCGTACACAGATCAAACAGTTGATTCCAGAATCAAAACTGAAATCTCCTTCCAGGTCCAAACGGGCACTTTTAAGCTTTGTTGGGGCCTTTTCTAAGACTCTGTTTGGCACCGCCACTACAGGCGATGTCAACATCCTTGCACAGCACATTAACACACTCACAAAACATGAAATGAATGTTATCAATACACTTCGACAGCACTCCCAACACCTCTCTTCTTTCATGCAACTCATTGACAAACGGTTCACAAATGCATTGCAAGGTATCAAAGCCAACCATGACACCATGCAATATGTTACACAAACCATTAACAGAAATACCAAATCTCTCCAAGCAACGTTTGTTTTACTTTCTACTCTCCTAACTGAACAAATACGACATGCTTATGATATTGAGCATCAATTGGATCAACTAAAATCAGGCATTTTAGATTTAGTTCAAGGTCGTCTGTCACCACTCCTTCTTTCTCCTGAAGTCTTAAAACAAACAATCCATCATCTATCGCGTCTCCTATCTGAAAAGTACAGAGGATTCCACCTTCTACAAACTGATCCGTCTTTTTATTATGCACATGCCCAATTCTTATATGCTAGAACCAAACTAAACATCTATGTGTCCATCAAATTTCCCATTTCTTCTATCAGCAAGCCTTTTCATCTCTACAAAATTCTTTCACTCCCTGTACCTGTCAATCAAACATCCTCTCACTCTACTCAGCTTCTGGATCTCCCATCATATTTTGCTATCTCATTTGATTCTCAGCACTATGCTACACTTGATACTTCTCAGCTATCATCTTGCACAGGTCGGTCACTTCTTCACTGTCCCTTTCGCCTTCCCCTTCAAGCTTCGAACAATCCATCGTGTGAAATTGCTCTCTTCCAAGATAGAAGAAGTGATATCAAATCCATGTGCAATTTTAGATACATAACCCAGCCACAACCATCTCAACTTATTCCCGTTGATTCTTCCCATATTCTGGTCTACCAAATACCCTTTCTCTCGCTAACATGCCCAGGTCATCGTCGTATGGTACCTGGCTGTACCTTCTGTGTTCTTGGCACTCCCTGTTCTTGTACGCTTTCCACGGAAACACTCTATTATCCTGCAGCCTTTGGCACCTGTCACAACACATCTGAAAAGCTGACACGTTTGCACCCTGTGAACCTTGCTCTCCTACAGCATTTCTTTGATCCTTCAACCCTTGCTACCATTGCAGGTGACACTAATTTCAAGAAGGCCATCCAAATTCAAATTCCGGATTTTCATATCTATTCCCACAAAATTTCCAAAATACTTGCTCAAGATAAGAATACCCATTTAAGTCTCAGACGAATTGCTGAGCGGGCCAAAAAATGATCAGACCATCTTCCAGAATCTAGCGGAACCCCCTCCTAGATGGTCAGATTGCTGTCCCTAGCTCATGGCCCGACACAAACACCATTATTGTCCTCATCAGCACCAGTATATCGCTCCTCTCTATCTGTTTGGTCATTTGGATGTTCTTCAAACTACGCACTCTCTCGGCAGCATTTGTTTTAATGTCCCACGCTGCTCCTGTCAAATCTGCTTTACTTCCAAACTTTAACTACGATGCCTACACATCTACTACCATTAATCCCTCTGATCTTGTAATCACTACTTTAACTGACTACCATGTCTCCATTCTGTTAGGGATCCTGACTGTCCTCCTGACAGCACTTCTCATCTTTGTCTTTTACACACAGTATTCTCGACCTAACAACTGTCTATTCCTAGAACTCACTACTGGTCCTGAATGTGTGACTATTCCATTTTTTCCACTCACACTGTGTCCTTCCTACTGGCGCATCCAACCTCCTTCTGTCATAGAAGACCTTCAACTCTCAGGATATTTCTTTCCCACTCTCACACTCCACTGGCCTGATTTCCATGTCACCAATAAACTGACCCACCGTTCACTCAACATCCCCAAATCAATCTCGGTCTCCTATCTCACTTCCCGCAAATTACGCAAACTCTTTCAGCAACCGTTTACCGCATATATTTTACTTGTCCACCATGGGTATTTTCAAGTTTTGGAACCGACTGGCATGGTCTTTTAAAGGTCTTTTAAAGGGCAAATTGTTAGGGAACGCTAAAAACTCCCTCATCATTCAACCTGTCTCAAGTATATACTATGTATCTTTTCACCCTTTTTCAGGTTCCTTTTTGACTTGTCCATCTTTTTTAAATTGTCCCTGATTTCTTCTACTCCCATGTGTATTTGTATTTCAGGTCAAATAATTGTATTTCAATTCTTGTACCATAATTGTTTTTAAATATACCACCCCTATGTCCATCCTATTTTTGCTTGTTTTGATCATTGTGTATACGTTTGTCAAACGCTATCATGCGCACCTCTTTGATTCTCATTGTACATCTTGGTATTTGTAACCCTTTCCTATTTTTGTAAAAGCTTTTGAGGACAAAAGCTCCACGACGCATAGGGGTATTGTTACAGTGCATATATTTCTTCATACATTTTATATTTTCACAAATTATTCATAACAAAGAAAATTCGTATACGTTCAAGTTGCAGTGCATAGTGTGTCTTGTTTATAGCCCCGCGTATCAAGCGCAGTAGTAGGCAATTAGCAAACGCCCACGCCAACCTTAAACTAATTAATCAAAGATGAAGCTAGCGAGCTGTGTCGGCTCCGGCCTTTCTTCTCGGGTACATCCCTTGGTCAAAGCACAGATAAGTAGTCCCATCCCAGCAGGAGCATGTCTACCACCAACTAAGTCGTAATCGAAAATCAACTTTTGATGAACAAGATCGAGATTACCATCATGCCATCCTCTTTGTCCTGTCGTAAATGCCATGGTCAGGCGCTGACAGATATTTTGTTAAGCAGCTGGCGCAAGCTGACCGTGGCTACACCACAAAGAAAATCAAACCTTGTTAGGTAATCATCTTCTTACCACCAACCTCGTGTAGTATACTTTGTCAGCATAGGGTAGATAACGCATATGGAAACTTCAACTTTATAGAAACTTGATAATGACAAACGAGCAGAGCTGTGGGGTATAAAATCCTGGGTTCTTCCATCTCAGGCACACTTGCTTGAATAAACCCTGGATCTCATAGCTCTGGCTCCTTTCTTGTTTCAAGGTAAGAAACATTTAAACTTATTCTTGTTTAACTTGTTATTTCTTTGTAATTATCGTCTAGAAAATGTTAGAGTTAGGTTAGAAACATTCCTACAACATTGAAGCACTTTGTCATTGCAAATGCTAGCTCTAGATAACCGATTAATTATTAGGCACTACCCAGGGATATCTATTTATGCACATTGCGTCGTGGGCTCCTCAAGTTTATGTTTTCATGTACAAACGAATAGTTCTTTTCTATGTTTCGACACACATGAGTGTATTCCCAGTCTTTTGTCTTGTTTTATTCATTTGCGTGTTAGTTCTGTATATGCAGGTTAGATTCTCGTTCAGTAGTCTAGATTCTAGTAGCTTAGTCACAAAACAGTTCCGAGTTTATACAATCAATTCCAGCAAAGACGAAGTTTATGTATTTTACTATAGTCCGCCGATCAAATGATATTCGTGTAGATTTACCTCAGATACGCGCTCACATGATAGGTATAACAGCCAACATTTGTGTTTTGATATTTCACCAACACTATAAGAATTTGAATAATGATGTATTAAACGTTCCGTTCCGCGTGCAGTTGTATACCGTACAGAACAGTTTATACGCGAATCACATTACCGTAATCAGTAGAAAATGGTATTGTCTACTCTTCATATTACCAGAAAATATACATTCAAATCCGTGTAGTTTGCAATTACAGTCTTCGTTCCGTATTGGTTTAGCTCCGTAATTTAAGAAATTCGCGTAGCCAATAACAACAGCGCCGTCCTGGTACATTATTACATATTCATTTAACTAAGTTACTGTCTTGTTTTGTAAAGCACAAAAAATGTAGCACTACAGCATTACATATATTCTAGGTCATGGCTTAACTCCGTATATGTCGATATTACACGTTGCCAATAGCAACATCGCCGTTGAAATACATTTACCGTAGTCACCCAAATAATTCAGGATGGGACAAAGTAGTAGTACTCTAGCTAAAACTATATCGTCTGTCCCCGTAGTTACACATATTTATATCACTCTCTAGTTCCACTTACCGTATCTACCGAAATTATTGTATTGAGAAAATATATGTTAACATTACAGTTAGAATGCGTACAGTCAATACCGGAGTTAAATGGTATATGTCAATTCTGAGCACTTCGCGCCGTTTACCGTATTTGCTCAAGGCATGTTTGTTGATAACGGAAATTACTTACACAAGTCATAAATCGTTACCGTAGCTAATGCATTAAGCGCGACATACCGTAATATTAGTAAATTCCTACCGTAGTCAATACACTAAGCGCAACATACCTAATAGTCATAAATTCCTACCGTAGTTAACGCAATAGGCACTACATACCGTAATTGTCATAAATCGCTACCGTAGTTAACGCATTAGGCGCAACATAACGTAATAGTCATAAATCCGCACAACAGTTAATGGACTAGGCACTACATGCTGTAATTAAACTGTTGGGCGCTCCACTCAGTACTTGTTCTTTGCAATTGTTGTTGATGATTAATTTATCCGTCAGGTTATGTTATTTATCAGTACCGTAGTTACTCAAGAAAATGTTGTATTATTTGTATTATGTTTCTGTAAGCAGTTACCGTACATACCCTGTTGTACCACACATGGCTTATATTACCGGACTTAGATATAAACTGTATTAGGATATCATTGATTATTATTTCTATTATTGTATGTCATTATTATGTATGAACTGATGTATATTGAATGTCATGCAAGGACACTTGCTTGAATAAACCCTGGATCTCATAGCTCTGGCTCCTTTCTTGTTTCAAGGTTTCAAGGCTTGCTCCCCTATAGCTAATTCCCCAAATCGAGGCCTGACAGCACCTTTAGCACACATAGCGCTAAAGGTCGTCCTAACGGACACAAAAAGAAAAGCTGTCTTACCTCTGTAACCGGCTGATATTGCTGAACGATTAGAAAAACCGTGTACTCACTTAATAACAAAATCTTTAATTTGAAGATGCTTATCTCATTGTTTTTAAGAGAATTTGTCTTTGATGGTATCAGCAAAATGGTCTTGTGTCAACTCCGTTTGTCCCGAACAAAAGTTGATGTACATCCATTAGTCCTTAGGACTTGGACCGAGTTTCACTGTTTCATTGGCAAAATATACATCGTGCCATGTTTGATCTTTAACAAAGATTGTGTAATAGTTCTCTTAATCAAAAAGCAATCTTTTGTATATTTATTTGTATGAGGAGGAGGAAATAACGAATTTTAGAAATTTTGAATTTCAGGTGGGGATGAGTGACACCTTGGTCGTCAGAGATCTACACAAACATTAACACAGAACATTGGAAACAAGTCGTGGCATCCGTAGTTCGAGAATGCAGAGTGCTGAATTCAGACAACAGTGTCGGTATATTTCCAGGGCAATAAAGTTGCATCTTTTTATACATGACGAGTTACAGAAGTTGAAAGTGACGACACAATAACGATATGTAGTGACATTAGATCACAATACCTTAATGAAACAATAAACTCGAGCTCTTGCATGTCGTCGGCCCAAGCGAGGTGGGCGTTGTGGATGGTGCAGATGTCCGTGGCTCTTGTCTGTGTCACACGATTACTGAAGAACTTGTAGCAGGAAGTCCTGAAGGCGCTCCAGCCGCTGGGGCAAACTGACAGACATAATATCATTGAATTACTTTCTTTTCCAATCGACCATTTTTAATTGTACTGATAATATTCGATATTGAAAAAACATATGTTCAGATAACGCTCTTGGGTACGCTACCTCCACACACGTAGTTGGCGGGTGACCATGATCCGTCGCTATGGCAACGCCTCGTTACAGCATCCGGTCCATACGGGCACTTTGCGAGTACTGTTGCTCCGATGTTGTACCAGTTCTTCTCAAACGAGAGCAGGCCGTCAGCAGAGGGAGGGGGTCGACTACAGCTGGACGGCACTAGAAGAGGAAAATCATATACACTGATACATTAAGTGAAAATTAACTATAGGCCTAATAATATTTGCCACTGTTCAAAACAGACGTTCCTTCTGTGGCTGTCGGGCTTACTTTGTTTGTTATTTTGTCGCTGTTTATTCCAGCTATATGGCGGCGGTCTCTAAATAATCAAATCTGGAACAGAACATCTAATACTTAAGGGCATAAGCATTAATGTACGCAATTGGGTTACGATGACATATGTCAACCATGTCAGCTCAGCGAGCCTGACCAGTGACCACCAGATCATGTTAGTCGCCTCTTACGACCCGAGTATGATCTGACTAGTTTATCACAGTTGTGACATATTCTCAGAGGCTGAGACATGTTGATATGCATGGGCGGATCCAGGAATTTTGAAAGGAGGGGGTTCAGGGGGTTCGAACCCACTGAACCCCCGATTGGCTCCGCCAACGCAAAAAAGATCTTAAGTCATTTTCAAAGAGAGAGAGAGAGGGGGGTTGGGGGTTGGGGGGGGTGTCGAACCCCCTGAACCCTCCCTGATATGTGCGTGCGTGCGTACGTGTCTGTGTGTGACTGTTTTTCACGTATATTCTATTCCGCATTGTGGCTGTATCCCTGAAGTCAAATAACACTTACAAAGAGAGGTGCCAATACAAATACCTATACCCTATCCATCCTCCCAACGATTACAAGCCTGAGCAAACACCCACGCCAACTTCCACGCCCCCGCCTACTCCCACGCACACGTTAACGCCCACGCGCACTAGTTGGCCCCTTACTGTCTTTGACAGGCAGTTGAACGTTGCAGGTCTTGGCACAGCGGGCAGCTGCGATGTTCGGATCTCCGTCACACAGACCCTGATTCTTCAGCTTGTCACAGTCAGGGAAGTTGTCATACTTTTTTTCTGAATGAACAGTGAATGAATAACATTAAAATATGAACTTTGTTTATTTTAACACACAAATTCATTGCTTTCAGTAAGAGACGTCACAAAGTGTATGTGTAACGTCTTGGCATTATCTCCCGAGAAGTGCGAATACACCCCAAAATGCACATCCGTCTGTTTTAGCGGATCGTGTTGGATCGTCTTAAGGTGTCTAGGATCGTGTTGAGCAGCGCCCCACCTTCCGGCTAAAATTAAGGGCACCACTAAATGCGAATACCGATTCCGGAATGGATGAGTCAGGCTGATTAACTTATATTTACAGATTCAGCATTAGTCAACTTATTCAAAGAAAAACACGTTCACAGTCTGTGAAAACCGACGGGATATTTCCAGTCAAAGAATGGATGAATTCTTATTAAGAGGTAGTTAAGATTTAGGCTCCAAAGGTAAAGCAGGGGCAGCTAATCGGCACACAGAGGTGGAACTATTTTCAGAATTATTTACCAAGGCCACAGGCGTCGCAGTAGTTCCGGTCGCATTGCCCTTCGTAGATCTTCGTATAGCACCAGGGTCGGAAGCTGTTGTCAGGGTTACGGCAGTAGTTTTCCTCCAGCACTGCGTCAAAGTCTCTATGAAAACGAGATTAAACGACAAATTTAAGTGCTTCGCAAGATTCATATCTGTTTGACCTTTCAGAAGGCACGCCTGACCCCCCATAGACAAATACATCAAACAGATGACATTCAAATTAACATTTCAGTATCTTTTAATGCAATTACAAGAAATCCCGTCCATGTGAACGGAAACGTTCTGTTGCGAAGAGTTGTGTTCAAAGCGATATGAGTACAAATGGACATAAAAGCAGCACACTTTGTTTGCAGAAGTATCTGATGGTCAGGAAATTCCTGTGAAGTTTTAATCAATTAGCCGCGTGATGGAGCAGCAAGGGGGCCAGTACGTCTAACCCCCACATGACACTGCCAATACTCGTTTATTTTATTTTAAATATAACCCAACATGACGTGCGATTTCCCCATTAGTAAACAGTACTTTGGCTTGAATTCGTTGAATTAATGTACACACTGTTTCGACAATGAAAGTAGCAGTAGCTGAATGACAATTAGGGCTGTAACGATGCCTAGAACTATCGATGGATTGCAATTGTTGAGTCTCCGATAGCAATTAATCGATGGTAGAAACGAAAACCTATCGATGCATTGACAGTATGTGTAACTATCGATAGTTTAGTTATTGACTTCCGTTGATAAATGCTCAGCAGAAAATACAGGAAGTACCAGATTCGTTCACTTTGATTTAGAGTTATCCGCTCCTGATACCTCTTAAACAAACATGGCGGCAAACACAGGTTGCGATTCGGAGTTTGCATTTGTGAATAACAGCCCTGGATGTGGGTTTCAAGTTTCTTGTCAGTAATTAAAAGAGCCTGAAACTACTTCAACTTGTTTTTATTTCACATAAACTATACATTCAATTGGGAAATGACTTCAAATGAGACAATTCAAGGACAAATACCTATTGCAATAGTTGGTCGCAACAGCAGACTATCGCTATCGCAATAGTTGCTTCCCCTGGATAGTTCCCCTAATTACAATGCAGTAACAGCAGCGGCTTATCTGTGACGAAGCGGTAACTGGAGCGGTTGTTTGTTCCAACAACAGTTGTCACAGCGGTAGCTGTAGGACATAACGGCTGGTGTTCCACTGTATAGTTATTATGGCGTAACGTTCCGTTGGGGTGTGACATTGTGTGGAGTAGTACTGTTGGGAATTGGTTAAAATCTTATAATTGATGATTGGTTCATTACAACCGATCAATCATGGAAAGAATTGGTTAGCGTCATTAATGAAATTTCTTAATGCACATAAGAATAAGGAAAAAAGCATGTAGTTCTTTTGGGGTTTTTTGGCAAAATTTCACATCTTTAAAGGATGACTAGTATGTTAGGAACATAAATTTCTTGGAGTCTTTAAGATAAATTCAATCATGAGTTGAAACGAGCTTGTAGTGCTTATGAAATGTAACAGACAAAACCAACCTTGTGAAAAATATTGTTAATGAAAACAAGTGTTCCAGAATTGTTTGTGTTCGATTATGAGAAAACATGATCGATTCCTTAGTCGTTTAGTCACTGCGACCAATCTTCGATTATTTCAATTAATCGGATCAGCACTAGTGTGGAGGACACAATAGCCTTATCACTGACCACAGTCCACGAGTGACCTCGACTTACCCGGAACTGAACATATGGTGCGGACATCCGGTGACCCTGTCCCACGGCAGGCATGGCTGAAAGTCTCGGGTCACGTTGACCCTACCCCGATAGCTCCGGCCGTTGTCCTCCGTATTGTAGCAGTGGCTCTCCGCTGTAACCCACAATACAGTGTAGTGAACACACAAGGTACAGCACATTATAGTTGTGGGGCTTCTTTCACTATGCAGCCTTTACTAAGGTTAACCTTTTCTCCCATTCTTTAACATTGCACTAAGGTTACCTTAGTGACTTACGATCACCTTTGTCCTTTGTGATAGGAGGCCCTGGGTGCCGTTGGATAAAACGTTCTTAGCGCTAAGGTGACCTAACTCACATACCAAAACATAGACTTAAGGTAGTCTTAGCGCTAAGGTTTTGTACAACCGTACCCAAGGCTTCATCCCAAGGAGCGACCATGCCTCTACGTCTGTGGGGAATCACATGATTTACCATAGGTGTACAATCGCCGTAGCGGTGAGGTCGTGCTGGAACAGGGTCCCATTTATTGAAGTGACTGTTACCTTAAACGACTCACAGGCGTAGGACAATCCTTAATGCCCACGTTTCGCATGGATCCCGGTCCACAAAGCTTTCGTAACGTTACGATATATCGTATCTACAAAATTTATTACTGGCAGTACTTACGGAGGATGACGTCAACTTTAGCCTTGAACCCTCTGTAATGGCCAGTGAGGTCAGTGTTAAGCTGGAAGGTCACAGTGTTGTTCAGTGTCCGGAAACTCTGGTCCAGGCCTTGACCGCATCTCCTTCAAGAACAAAATCACGGACACGATTCATTCTCTTGTTCGGTCGTTCGTTCGTTCGTTCGTTCGTTCGGTCGCTCGGTCGTTTAAATACGTATATTCAGTTCCAGCTAATTCACTGTGGTTTCCAACTGATAACACTTGACAAACCAGTGATTGATATTGTGATCATCCTCCTACTTTCTCGAGGTACGATGACACGCATCAGCCCAGTCTGACAAACATGGGGAGGGATTGGTAATAACCAGTCGAACTCCAGACATTTCGTGATGATCGAGTAATGTCATATGCCCATTAAAGCCTAAGATTGGAACATAATCTGCTGGTTGTTTATGAGCATCACTGTTATGATCTTACATCGCCAATTACAGGTGCTCGAACAATGTTGAATATGGTCTAAAGTAGATCGGACTTTCGTGCTCCTCGGGAGTAGTATTTATCATATTCTGCCTTTTCGGTAAAAATGAGTGAGTGAGTTTAGTTTTACGCCACACTCAGCAATATTCCAGCTATATGGCAGCGGTCTGTAAATAATCGAGTCTGGACCAGACAATCCAGTGATCAACAGCATGAGCATCGATCTGCCCAATTGGGATACGATGACATGTATCAACCAAGTCAGCGAGCCTGACCACCCGATCCCGTTAGTCGCCTTTTACGACAAGCATAGTCGCCTTTTGTGGCAAGCATGGGTTGCTGAAGACCTATTCTACCCCGGATCTTCACGGGTCACGGTAAAAATGAACTAAGCGTTAGAGCATATTGTGATGTGTCATGCTTGTCCTCTGTTTACCTAAAGCTGCATCAAAATACCAAGTGAGAGAGTCAAACTGAAAAGACCTTGTCAAATCACAATGTCCTTATTTTCTCAAGTTTATTTCCAATCAGTCTTGAACGAAAGGAAGGCGAGCGCAGCGAATTAATGCGACGGGGAAGCCCACTGTTGGACGTGTTCGCTGAAACTCCTGCGTTCTATTCCCAAGATATGTAAACTATAAAAAGCAAACACTATGTCTACAGCGGTGAAGATTCGGCTTAGAATTGGTCTTCAGCAACCAATGTTTTTGTAAGATTTGACCGACGGGATCGGGTGGTCAGACATCCTCACTAAGTTGACACATGTCATCGAATTGCTTAGACTCGATTATTTACAGAACGCCGCCATATAGCTGGTATATATTTTGCATAAAAGTAGAGTGAAACGTATTGCTGGAATATTGCTTAAAGCGGCGAAAAGCCAGACTCAATTGCGATGTCCACATTTTAGTATGCGTCCACTATTGATAACTCTGGAGAGGGTTTACTTACGTAGGGGCGTGCTGACCGGGGTAGATGTAGCGGATAATGAACGAGTCCCCCTCACAGTTGTCTGTCTTAACCCCCACGTCGAAGTCTTCAAAGTTGATGAGCATCGTTGCTCCAAGAGGAGCCTGGCGAACGGAACAAAATGTTCAAAAAGGAACGGTTGAAATAATTTCAGCTATGTAAATGAACGAAATTGAAGTTTCAAATTGAAAATACTTCGACTCAACAACACGTACCTGTAAATGTAAATATGTGGTGATACATTTATTTAATATGAAATCTAAATGGACAGTTTAGTAGATTCCAACACAATACATGCTAACATAATCTAGATTAGGATAGTCAAGTAAATCCCACATTTGAAATTGAAAGAAATGTTTTTAGTTGAAAGGCTTTTGGGGTACAACTTGAATGTTGAGTGAGTGAGTGAGTTTAGTTTTACGCCACACTCAGCAATATTCCAGCTATATGGCGGCGGTCTGTAAATAATCGAGTCTGAACCAGACAATCCAGTGATCAACAGCATGAGCATCGATCTGCCCAATTGGGAACCGATGACATGTGTCAACCAAGTCAGCGTGCCTGACCACCCGATCCCGTTAGTCGCCTCTTACGACAAGCATGGGTTACTGAAGATCAATATTCTAACCCGGACCTTCATAGGTAGCCTCTTATGACAAGCATGGGTTACTGAAAATCAATATTCTAACCGAGATCTTCACCGGTAACTTGAATGTTGAAGACAGGCATGCACAAGATAAGCCCTTGCAGAAACGGGAGGCGACATCACCGCTGTTGCCACACACCAAGGTTGGGTATTTGATTGTTGTTTGACGCCACACTCAGCAGTATTCCAGCTTTGACGGTGGTCTGTTGCTTTGTCTGGTACAGACAGTGGTCGATATTGTGAGCACCGATCCACGCCGTCAAGGTACGAGTCACCAGCCAGACCACTAGATCCATTCCGACCTTTCCATTTCTGGTGTCCCCCGCCGTGATATTGCTGGAATATTGCTAAAGGCGGCGTAAAACTAAACTCACTCACTCTCTTGGACACGCTTTCGATGCTGTGTGAAAGAAACAAATCATAGTTCCTTGTTTAGCCTACCTTGATAAGCCAGTAACAGTCCAGCGACGGGCGATATGGAGACGGATAGCCAGGGGAGGTAACCACTACAGAAGGATTGTCACGTGACAGCTCTATAACGTCCCCGCAATCTGAAAGTTACATCATTTGTCGATGAAAGGTTTGCAATCTAAACGAACATTTCTCATTTCATCTATACTTTTTTCTTCAGTAAACTTCAAAGTAAATTCTAAATTCTGGAGGCAATGAGTCAACCGAGGCCAAGTGGACCAGTTGCGTAACTTGACCGTGCCAGGATCCGCTTCTCTGTGGTTCTAGCCTTGTCATATTAAGTTGATATAACGGAAATACCGTTCAAAGCGGTGTTGAATACACCTAGCCGTGATATTGCTGGAATATTGGTGCTGGTGAAACTGACCTACCTCTGTCGTACTTCGAGTAGTAACAGAACCACATCGTCAGATCACCGTAGCTGGTTATCTCGAAGGGGATGTTCGACTCGAGTTTCGCGACTCTGTCGTTCGTAGATATCCGTACACTTTCAAGCGTACTCATCATGCCTGGAAAGAGTGGTAATTGGCAGTAGAGATTGTTGGCAGCTCAATTAAAGTGATTGTCAGTGACAGCAAAGTACTGAAACGCACGTAAAATATCGAGAACTGTAGTTGGCCAAATTATAACAAGAAGAGCTACCTCCCTTGGCTGTTGGCCCAGAACACATTGATCGTTCGAGAAGTTTTGGGATGGGACAGACAGATGGCTGGATATATTTCATAGGTGAGGTCATTCTTAAGAATATTTCGCTTATATGACGACACCCATGCGTGTGGGTGGCTGCTTGTACTAGCCCAAAATTAAGCCGGTTTTATAGTGCTAGCTGATTGAGATACCATGCCGCAGTTAAGCATGAATATCCCACTCAGACACATTATAACGACCAGTCCTTGTTGTACCCATTAATGCCGAGCGCCAGGCAGGGACCAACAAGAACCATATTTTAACGTCTTTTGGTATGATGCGGCCAGGGATCGAACCCGCTCTCCGGGCGGACGCTCTAACCACTACACCACGGAGGCGGTCTGTACATATATATAGTAGCTGTATGACAGATTTGGGGCATCTTACGACCTGATGTGTGTCGTATTTATTTCCTATAACATCGAATTCCTGCAAGATTCCAACGCTCTTCGGGCTCACAAGGAAAAGCGACAATATTCTCCACATTCGTTAATTTAACTCAGTGAATCGCCTGTTTCTATTGTAAGCTGTGTATTTAATTTGAATTGGTGTTTTCAGTATTGCCCTTTTGTATTAAACAGCAATTTATATACTCATGCCAATAATGGTTGTCACAACCCTCCCCACCCCAACCCCCCACCCCAATTAAAATAATTGAAGGGGGTGACAACCATTATTGGCATGAGTATATCTTTGTTGTTTAGACTTTACAACATCTGTACACTTTACAAGCTAATGGACATTTGACTAACATCGCTCAGTCAAAAATATTTGCATTTGTATGTAATGTTTCATGTTTCTGGTTGTATATCTGTTTTCATTTACTACTGCCTCTACCTTAACACCACAGGACCACATACTGTAAATAGGTTTTTTGTTTCTAATTCCTATAATGTTTGCTTTTGAAAAAACGAGGATCTATTTTGTATTTATTTGTTTTATAATAGGATAATTACAAATATTTTCTCTCTTTTTGATATATGAAGCGTTTGCCACATTAAACATACTTTTGTCAAACATCATATGTCTGTGTATTGTGTCACCAGAAACTAATGAAGGTGTACTCACCGTTTACGCTTTGACACGGCACCTTCTTTGAGATCGGAAAAAGAATGAAAGGCGTGTCGTTGGGAAGGTAAATGACATCCTCCGAGAACCCGTCGTCACGGTAACAGAGCCTCAGGATGAAGGTGGAGGTTGTCGCGTTTTTCATCGAAAAACCTGCACAAAGAGAAGGAACTGTGGTCAAATTCTGACGACCCGCGCGGTAGCAACGAGGAACAGATAAATGTTTATTGCTTAACTTCGCAATATTGCAGTTTTAATGCAGCGGGCTGTTAATCCAATGATTGATAGTGGACAACGATTCGCCAAGTTCAGGTTTGATGACACGCCATCAACCAATTCGCCGATTCTGATCCCCCGATCCATTTGTTCGTCCTGCAAACCTTTGTTTGTTTGTTGTTTAACGCCGGACTCGGCAATATTCCAGCTATTCCCCCGATCCATTTGTCATAAGCATCGATCTAGGCATTTTGGATATGATGACTGGATAATCGAGTCTGGACCAGACAATCCAGTGATCAACAGCATGAGCATCGATCTGCCCAATTGGGAACCGATGACATGTGTCAACCAAGTCAGCGAGCCTGACCACCCGATCCCGTTAGTCGCCTCTTACGACAAGCATGGGTTACTGAAGACCAATTCTAACTCGGATCTTTACGTGTCCGTAACAATAAGAATAACAGGATGCTGATGTTCCTGGAACTAGATTGGTAAAGTTGGCAGCTGGAGGTATTCAGAAGAAGGTAGTTGACACGTGTACATGTGTGAGTGAGTGAGAGTGACATCCACCTGCTGTATAAAACATTCAATAACACAAAATGCATGACAACAATGTTTGTGTGTATATTCAGTTACTAACATATGACTAAAAGAATAGAACCCCTCCCCTCGTACTTAGGAACCCTGGTTTTAAATATGCCACCGTTTTTGCAACACATGTGTCTGGGAACTTTTTTGTTTGTGATTCGACAATATTCCAGCTATATATTCACATGTTCCCAATCATATTATCTAGTGGATGACATACTGAGCACACAGCAATTACCTCAACGCCATAATAATAATAATAATAATAATAATAATGTGTCCATTTATATAGCGCCAAACTCCACACTAGGTATGCTCATAGCGCTAACAATCAAGGCCATTATTACCCCGGATAACCCAAGCTGCCTGTTAGGCGCTAGAAGGTTATAGCCATATGACTTTTTTCCACCGGGTACCCATTTTCCTGCATACATGAGTTTTGCTGAAGACCAGATCTAACGCCTGCTAGGAAAATCACATCAATCACCAATTCTTTAATTTATACAGGGTATAGGGAGATTCAAGAGATAATAACATTATCTCGTTGCCGAGATACAGATTATCAGTCCAGAGTACGTACCGGTCGGGCAGGCCCCGGTGTCTGCGGCTAAAGTAGCGTATCTCCCAGTCCCCCAGGGCGTCTTGTCGGATGTTGAATAATGCAAACAAAACACCAGGTTCGTCAGGTTTCCCCCTAAATGGAAACTGTCGCCAAGGCTTGACATCCGCACTGTTGGTTGATAGGTTCGATTCAAGAACATATTCGACGGACATCCGGCGGAAGTACCCAGAACGCCATAGGCTCCAGCCGGAAAATCGGGAACCGAGTCCACTGAAACAAAGGGGAGATAATCAATGAAGCAACAGTGTTCACGAAAGCAGTCACTTTGCTGTTTTCATCTTTCTAACTGATTCGTGTCAAATTGGCTACCGGTATCTGTTGTATTGATGGTATTTCGTTTTTTCTGGGGCGGTGGGAGTGGCTTAGTCGTTTTACGCCGCTTTTTAGCAATATTCTAGCAATATCACGGTGGGTGACACCAGAAATGCGCTTCACACACTGTACCCATGTGGGGGAATCGAACCCGGGTCTTCCGCGTGACGAGCGGACGCTTTAACCACTAGGCTACCCCACCACCGGATTGATTAAAACTGTCACTACAAGGTATTTTTCTCACTTCATGACAAGTTTCGCTAAATATACTACCTTTTCAGGTCAAATCACTGACATAGGGCCTTAAGGCTAAAACAAATGTAGGGCCTTTTTAGGGTGAAATATTCAAATTTCAGGCTTTTCCATGTAGACCGCCTCCGTGGTGTAGTGGTTAGGGCGTCCGCCCGGAGAGCGGAAGGTCGCGGGTTCGATCCCCGACCGCGTCATACCAAAAGACGTTAAACTATGGTACTTGTTGGTCCCTGCCTGGCGCTCGGCATTAATGGGTACAACAAGGACTGGTCGGCTCGGAGTCAGTATTATGTGTCTGAGTTGGGTATTCATGCTTCACTGCGGTATGGTATCTCAGTGGGCTAGCACTATAAAACCAGCTTCAGTCTGGGCTAGTACAAGCAGCCGCACATACACATACACACACATGCACGTCGCCATATGAGCTAAATATTCTCAAGCACGATGTTAAACCCAATTTCACCTCACCACACCTGTTGCAACGTTAACATCTAACTCACTCCACGTAGTGTACACGCTAAATGCACCGACGTGGACGACATACCTGTCTTGATGACTGTCCTGCAGCCAGTCTTGGGGTCGAGCCCAGGGGGACACATACATCGACACGCCCCCTCCACGTAGGACACAAAGCCATCATTGATACATTCAATGGAGAAGTCGGGGCACATCCGGGCTGAAAGACAAAGTTAGGTGGAGGAGTGAGTTTATCTTTAGGCCGTTCCAGCACAATTCCAGCAATACCAAGACCAAGTTTGGACACTGTGTTAACCGGACACCTAGTTATACAGGACGGTGTAGGTATGTACCTTGACACTGGTTCCCGGCCTATTTTGAACACTGTGTAAACCGGACACCCACTAATACAAGACGGTGTAGGTATGTACCTTGACACTGGTTCCCGGCCTAGTTTGAACACTGTGTTAACCGGACACCCACTTATACAAGATGGTGTAGGTATGTACCTTGACACTGCTTCTTGACCTAGTTTGAACACTTTGCTAACCGGCCACCCAGTTATACAGGACGGGATAGATACGTACCTTTACACTGGTTGGTGAAAGCTATCTCGTGCCAGGTGTAGAACACGTTACCCCGCATGCCGTCCAGATTGGCCAGGTCGTGGAACAGCACTGTCATGGAGGGCCACGGACCCTGCTTGAACCCCTGGAAACCAGCACATCGCAATAAAGAAAAAAACATAAACATAAAAGCGTTATAACTACGCGTAGACTTCAAAGGGGAAATCACCAATCTTAAAACAAGGCGATAATATTCGCCTAAGAGCAATATTGTATCCACAAATCAGTGTTTCCGCTGACTTAATTATTTATCGGACACTGTGTCAGGCGACCTAAAATTTTACCGGTCATGAATGAAATTTGCCGGTCGTATCCTATTGCCATACTGTAAGTACTCACTTTACAGTTATTTTTAGTCTGGGTATTTCCGAAACATAATAATTTTTGCGACCATGAAAGCACAGCCAAGACTCATTTTGCTTACCCATGATGTTTTTATTTTAATACATGACTATTTACCGGACACAGTGTCCGGCTGGGTTTAAATTTACCGGTCCCCAACAAATTTTACCGGTGATTTTCAGGTATAAACCGGAGAACGGAAACACTGACAAATAACATGTTATTAAAAAGACTTGAATTTAGCTGATGTTGGGCCGTGCTTCACTTGTCCCACATTTGATTTACAGAAACGGCTGATACGTGAAGTCCTCGTATTGGGTAGCGACAGATATCTGCATGTATAATGCCCAGATACTTACATTCGGGTACAGAATATCAGCTAGTCAGATACAATATACTGCCTGGATGAATACAGTTTGGAACAGAATACCGCCAATATACTCTCGTGTACAGAATACCGCCAATATACTCTCGTGTACAGACTACAGCCTAGAAGCATTTGGGTACAGCACACCACTAAGATACAGTCAGCTACAAAATATCGCCAAGCTGGATACAGAATATGGAGTTGGATACAGAATACGGCCAATATGGAGTCAGATACAGAATACGGCCAATATTGATTTGGATATAGAATACGGCCAATATGGAGTCGGAAACAGAATACGGCCAATATGGAGTCGGATACAGAATACGGCCAATTTGGAGTCGGATACAGAATAAGGCCCACTATGGAGTCGGATACAGAATACGGCCAATATGGAGGCGGATACAGAATACAGCCAATATGGAGGCGGATACAGAATACGGCCTAGATGGAATGGGATGCAAAGCACTGACTTTACACAGTCGGGTACAGAATACGACGTAAACACAGTCGAATACAGAATACGGCCAATATGGAGTCGGATACAGAATACGTCCAAAATATGGAGTCGGATACAGAATACGGCCTAGATGGAGTGGGATGCAAAGCACTGACTTTACACAGTCGGGTACAGAATACGGCCTAGACACAGTCGGGTACAGATTACAGCCTGCACACAGTCGGGTGCTGATTTCCGCCCACATACTTACGTTGACACCATAGTGCATGATGCTGCTGAGGTCATACCGGAAGGACATAGTTGTCTCTCTGTACTCCTCCATGAAGATAAACCAGTTAGCTGAAACAAAACATAAAGTCAGATCAGTGTTTCTGTCATGCATGCCCAACAGCGCCTTAGTCGACTGAAGCAGTGTTCTCCTTAAACTACATTTGTGAGAAGAGAACACTTCCTGGTGAATTGTTCTCATTCAGTATGTAGAACGGCGTCTATATTCAAAAGCGTTTCCCGACACGTCCTCAAGGGAGGCTTAGGTGCAGGAGTGTATCCAAGATGGGCCAAATATTGGTGAACCTCGTTGACTCGAACTCTGATAGCACGCAGACACGCAGATAGTGAGTGAGTGAGTGAGTATGGTTTTACGCCGTTTTTAGCAATATTCCAGCAATATCACGGCGGGGTACACCAGAACTGGACTTCACACATTGTACCCATGTGGGGAATCGAACCCAGGTCTTCGGCGTGACGAGCGAACGCTTTAACCACTAGGCTACCCCGCCACCGGAGATACCTTAAGACAAACCTAGCAGTCTACTTTTCTGATAAGTCGATGTTGTTTTGTCCCACAAATGAGAAAGTATATTGATTCACCGTACTATATACAGTGCCATGTAATATATATCAGACCTTATGTCGAATAGCAGAACTCTGCTTGCCTCGAATTTCGGGTAACGCAATACGTTAACGATAATCCAAGAGACTTCTAGCTATTCGAAACATCTGATACAGACAGCCGTCAAATATTGGGATACTCCCTGAGCGCGGGGGGCGGCGGGGTAGCCTAGTGGTTAAAGCGTTGGCTCGTCACGCCGAAGACCCGGGTTCGAATCCCCACATGGGTACAATGTGTGAAGCCCATTTCTGGTGTCCCCCGCCGTGATGTTGTTGGAATATTTTTAAAAGCGGCGTAAAACCAAACTCAGTCAGTCCCTGAGCGCGGCGTAAAACAATAACCAAACCGTTATACCTTTCTGGAGAGGATGAAATGGCATTCGCGATTATTGCAGTGAATGAGTGAGTTGGTGTGGATTAACTCCGCATTCAGCACTATCACGGTTGGGGGACACCAGAAAAAAGGATTCGAACATTTGAGGAAAACAATTTCACTCATGTCCGAGTCATCTCCGGCGAGAAGGGCTAACACGTGAGTGACTTGACTACTCTTTCGCCCCGTGAATGAGCTCAGGGTTCGATCAAACACATTGTAAGAGGGGCGCAAGATAATGCAAGTACCAATGAACTGAAAATCTCTTCCGTCACCTACTTAGGGCAATGTTTTTCCAGTTGACTCTGATGAAGCCGCCTCGGTCAGGGCTGACGTGGTCGTGAAAGACACCAAAGGCGTGAGACAGTTCATGGACACACGCACCCTGAGGATAAAACTATCCATGTGAGAACTAAGGACAATTTTGTACACACATTTGTTTCTGGATTTTTTTGTTTAAAAAGTAGGTTCTAGAAACAATCAATACACAATCGGCCACGATCATACACTTGTAACACATGTTATATTTGGGGTTGCATTTGGGAGTCCCAAGCCCAACCCTCACTCTCAGAGTCACCAAAGTCAGCTATCTAACCCACTCAGCCATTCCACCAGTCAGCTGACTTTGTGTGCTGGCGATTAGGTGAAGTGAGGTGAAATTGGGTTTAACGTCGTGCTTGAGAATATTTCGCTCATACGACGACGTGCATGCGTGTGTATGTGTATGTGCGGCTGCTTGTACTAGCCCAGACTGAAGCTGGTTTTATAGTCCTAGCCCACTGAGATACCACGCCGCAGTGAAGCATGAATACCCCACTCAGACACATTATACTGACTCCGAGCCGACCAGTCCTTGTTGTACCCATTAATGCCGAGCGCAAGCTGGCGATTAGGAGCCTTACACTGAGACTGAGGGTTTGATAAACAATACTGGAATCTGTACTTTACTGGGAAAGTGTAATCCCAAATTTAACGTGTTACATTTGACCACTTTTAAATGGTTCTGTGTATATATATATATTCGTACGATACGTACAATATACCACATACTGTCACGTTCACTGCAGCACGTACAATATTCCACATAACATTATGTACGCTGCAGCATTCATACACGAATTACACCACCATGATACGCAGGATACGTCCACCACTGACTCGTACGATACGTACAATATTCCACATAACATTACGTACGTTGCAGCATTCATACACGAATTATACCATCATGATACGCAGGATACGTCCACCACTGACTCGTACAATACGTACAATATTCCACATAACATTACGTACGCTGCAGCATTCATACACGAATTACACCTACATGATAGCATTGATACGCAGGATACGTCCGCCACTGACTCGTACCATGCGGACAATATTCCATATAAAATTATGTACGCTGCAGCATTCATACACGAATGACACCATTATGATAGCATTGATACGCAGGATACGTCCGCCACTGACTCGTACCATGCGTACAATATTCCACATAACATTATGTACGCTGCAGCATTCATACACGAATTACACCATCATGATAGCATTGATACGCAGGATACGTCCGCCACTGACTCGTACCATACGTACAATATTCCACACAACATTATGTACGCTGCAGCATTCATACACGAATTACACCATCATGATACGCAGGATACGTCCACCACTGACTCGAACCATACGTACAATATTCCACATAACATTACGTACGCTGCAGCATTCATACACGAATTACACCATCATGATACGCAGGATACGTCCACCACTGACTCGAACCATACGTACAATATTCCACATAACATTATGTACGCTGCAGCATTCATACACGAATTACACCACCATGATATGCAGGATACGTCCGCCACTGACTCGTACCATACGTACAATATTCCACATAACATTATGTACGCTGCAGCATTCATACACGAATTACACCATCATGATAGCATTGATACGCAGGATACGTCCGCCACTGACTCGTACCATACGTACAATATTCCACATAACATTATGTACGCTGCAGCATTCATACACGAATTACACCATCATGATACGCAGGATACCTCTACCACTGACTCGTACCATACGTACAATGTTCCACATATCATTACGTACGTTGCAGCATTCATACACGAATTACACCATCATGATACGCAGGATACGTCCACCACTGACTCGTACGATACATACAACGTTCCACATAACATAACGTACGCTGCAGTATTCATACACGAATTACACCATTATAATAGCATTGATACGCAGGATACGCCCACCACTGACTTGTACGATACGTACAATATACCACACAACATTACGTACACTGCGGCACTCAAATCCGAATCTGATACGTTTGGTAAATACGCCAAACCGATCAATACGTACCCGACTACAGCAGCTGAGACGCTGGCCATTGGGGTTGTTGACATTACCGAGGAGAGACCAACACCTGTATATAATGGTACAAAGTACAAACAACTGCATAAGCCATGTGATAAAATCAACCCAGGTGGCACTTTAAACTAATATTTCTAACATCATGTAGTCCTTTTAAAGTTAGTGAGTTTGGTTTTACATAGCTTTCAGCAACATTCGAACTATCTCGCAGAGTTCCCTTTTCACATTGCCCCCGTGTGGAATCGAACCGGACTTTCGTTGTGAAGAGCGAACACTTTAATAACTTGGTTACCCCACCATCACGCTACCTGTTTAAACAACTTTAAAAATGCTCAATAAACTTTTGAAATTAGAGAATTAACATAGCATTGTTTTCGATTTTCAGTATCTCGCTATAACATCTCCAGTGTTGAACAGCTTTACTCTCTGAGGTGAGGTGAAATTGGGTTTAACGTGGTGCTGGAGAATATTTCGCTCATATGACGACGTGCATGCGTGTGTATGTGTATGTGCGGCTGCTTGTACTAGCCCAGACTGATTTTATAGTGCTAGCTCACTGAGATACCATGCCGCAGTGAAGCATGATTACCCCACTCAGACACATTATACTGACTCCGAGCCGACCAGTCCTTGTTGTACCCATTAATGCCGAGCGCCAGGCAGGGACCAACAAGTACCATAGTTTAACGTCTTTTGGTATGACGCTGTCGGGGATCGAACCCGCGACCTTCCGCTCTCCGGGCGGACGCTCTAACCACTACACCACGGAGGCGGTCTTTACTCTCTGATAACAAAGACACACATTTAGTCTATGATATACACACATCTTCCCGTTTATGTTACCCACATATTTAATAAATTTGTGACTAAATATCATATTATAAACTGTTTAAACCACCTTTTCATAATAATAAGTCCATCTGTATAGCGCCCTATGTCCAATCACCAAGTGGTTGCTCATGGCACTGTTCAACACTGGAGATGTTATAGCGAGATACTGTAAACCGAAAACAATGTTATGTTACTTTTCTAATGTTTATTTGATGAGCTTGTCGATACAAAGATATATATGTGTACCTACCCACTTTTTTTGATGAGACGCACGTGGCTTTCAGTGGTGAGATTATACTTTTCTCGAGTGGTGTTCTTCACCCACGGTATAAAACGCACGCACGTGAACCGCTCGTGACGTTTCATGGCTACTCGCGTCTCGTGCTCCTCGTCAGGTGCTGAAAAATAGTGAGTGAATGAGTGAGTGAGTGAATGAGTGAGTGAGAGACGCAGGCAGGTGGTTGGGAAGGTGGGTGAGTGTGAGTGAGTGGGGTCTGGGTGGGTGGGAATGTGGTACTGAGAGAGTGAGTGAGTGAGTTGGGTTGGTAGATGTGTGCGTGAGTGAGTCACTGAGTTTGTGTTTGAGTAAGTAGGTAGGAGCTAGGTTTGGTGAGAGCGTGGGTCGGTTAGTCAATACACTAAGCGGCTTATGGTGTATTAATACTGTATTAATTCTGATTCAGGACATCCATTCCACAGGCCGTCCCTTTGTTCAGTATTTGCAAATATATTCATATTAACATTTTGTCATTAGTTCACTATCAGATGAGCGCTCAAGCGGGAGAACAGATAGTAGTAGTAGTAGTACTAGTGGTGGTAGTAGTGGTAGTAGTATCAGTAGTAGTAGTACTAGTGGTGGTAGTAGTGGTAGTAGTATCAGTATCAGTAGAAGTAGTAGTACTAGTGGTGGTAGTAGTGGTAGTAGTAGTAGTAGTAGTAGTAGTAGTAGTACTAGTGGTGGTAGTAGTGGTAGTAGTATCAGTAGTAGTATCAGTATCAGTAGTAGTAGTAGTAGTAGTACTAGTGGTGGTAGTATTGGTAGTAGTATCAGTAGTAGTATCAGTAGTAGTAGTAGTAGTACTAGTGGTGGTAGTAGTGGTAGTAGTATCAGTAGTAGTATCAGTATCAGTAGTAGTAGTAGTGGTAGTTGTCGTAGTAGTGGTAGTAGTAGTGCTAGTGGTAGTAGTAGTGGTAGTGGTAGCAGTAGTAGTATCAGTATCAGTAGTAGTAGGTGGTGGTGGTAGTAGTGGTAGTAGTAGTGATGGTGGTAGTAGTAGTGGTAGTAGTAGTGGTAGTAGTGGTGGTAGTAGTAGTAGTAGTAGTGGAGTATCAGTGGTAGTAGTAGTGGTGTGGTAGGTGGTAGTAGTAGTAGTGCTGTAGTGGTGGTGGTGGTGGTGGCGAGTGGTGGTATCGGTGGCAGTGGTGGTAGTGGTACCAGTGGTGGTGGTGGTAGTGGTGGTAGTAGTAGTAGTAGCGGTTGTGGTAGTAGTAGTGGTAGTAGTAGTAGTCGTACTGGTGGTGGTAGTAGTAGTAGTAGTAGCAGTAGTAGTAATGATTGTAGTAGTAGTAGCAGTAGCAGTAGCAGTAGCAGTGGTGGTAGTGGTGGTAGTAGTAGTAGTAATAGGTGGTGGTGGTAGTAGTGGTAGTAGTAGTAGTAGTAGTAGGTGGTGGTGGTGGTAGTGGTTGTAGTAGTAGTAGTGGTAGTGGTGGTAGTGAGTAGTAGTAGTGTGGTGGTGGTAGTGTAGTAGTGAGTGGTGGTAGTAGTGGTAGTGGTGGTGGTGAGTGGTAGTGGTGGAGTGGTGGTGGTGGTGGTGAGTGGTGGTAGTGGTGGTAGGTGGTGGTGGTAGTGAGTGGAGTGGTGGTGGTGGTGGTGGTAGTGGTGGTGGTGGTGGTGGTGGTGGTGGTATGGTAGTAGTAGTAGTGGTGGTGGTGGTGGTAGTGGTGGTGGTGGTGGTGGTGGTTGGTGGTGGTAGATTGGTGGTGGTAGTGGTGGTGTGGTAGTGGTAGTAGTAGTGATAGTGGTGGTAGTGGTGGTGGTAGTAGTGGTGGTATTGGTAGTGAGTGGTGGTTGTAGTTGTGGTGGTGGTGGTACTACTGAGTGGTGGTAGTGGTGGTAGTAGTAGTAGTAATAGTGTAGTAGTAGTAGGTAGTGTGGTGGTAATGGTGGGTGGTGGTGGTGGTAGTATTGGTGAGTGGTAGTGGTAGTAGTAGTAGTGGTAGTGGTAGTGGTGGTAGTGAGTGGTAGTAGTAGTGGTAGTAGTAGTAGAGTGGTGTAGTGGTGGTAGTGTGATGAGTGGTAGTAGTAGTAGGTGGTGGTAGTGGAGTAGTAGTGGTGGTGGTAGTAGTAGTAGTGAGTGGTAGTGAGTGGTGAGTGGTGGTGGTAGTGAGTAGTGGTAGTAGTGAGTGGTAGTGGAGTGGTGGTGGTGGTAGTAGTGGTAGTAGTAGTAGTAATTGGGTGGTGGTGGTAATTAAGTAGTGGTAGTAGTAGTAGTGGTGGTGGTGGTGTAGTGGTAGTAGTGGTAGTAATTAGTAGTAGTAGTGGTGGTGAGTGGTAGTAGTGGTGGTAGTAGTAGTAGTAGGTAGTGGGTAATTGGTAGTGTGAAGGTAGTAGTGGTAGTAGTGAGTAGTGGTAGGTGGTGGTGGTGGTGGTGGTGGTGGTGGTAGTGAGTAGGTGGTGGTGGTGGTGGTGAAGTGGTGGTGAGTGAGTAGTGTGGGTAGTGAGTGGGTGGTGGTGGTGGTGGTGTGGTGGTGGTAGTAGTGAGGTGGTGGTAGTGGTAGTGGTGGGGTGAGTGAGTGGTGTTGGTAGTGGTGGTGGGTAGTGGTGAGTGGTGGTAGTGGTGGTGAGTGAGTAGTGGTGGGTGGTGGTGGTGGTGAGTGGTGGTAGTAGTAGTGAGTAGTGGTGGTGGTAGTGGTGGTGGTAGTAGTGAGTGGTAGTAGTGAGTAGTGAATTGAGTGGTTGGTGAGTGGTTGTGGTGGTGAGTGGTGAAGTAGTAGGTGGTAGTGGTGGTGGTAGTGAGAGTAGTAGTAGTGGTGGTGGTAGTAGTGAGTAGTGGTAGTAGTGGTGGGTGGTGGTGGGTGTAGTAGTGGTAGTAGTAGTGGGGTGGTGGAAGTAGTGGTGGTAGTAGGTGATGGTGGTGGTAGTAGTGGTGGTAGTAGTAGTAGTAGTAGGTAGTAGTAGTGGTGGTAGTAGTAGTAGTAGTAGGTGGTGGTGGTGGTAGTGGTGGTAGTAGTGGTAGTAGTAGTAGGTAGTAGTGGTGGTAGTAGTAGTAGTAGTAGTAGGTGGTCGTGGTGGTAGTGGTGGTAGTAGTAGTAGTAGTAGGTGGTGGTGGTGGTAGTGGTGGTGGTAGTAGTGGTGGTAGTAGTAGTAGGTAGTGGTGGCAGCGGTAGTAGTAGTAGTAGTAGTGAGTAGTAGTAGTAGTAGTAGTGGAAGTAGTAGTAGTTGTAGTGGTAGTAGTAGTAGTGGTAGTGGTGGTAGTAGTGGTAGTAGTAGTGGTAGTAGTAAAGCAGTAGTTGGTAAAGCAGGCCTTACGGACATCGGCGTCGAACTCGTACGGGAGATAAGCGCCATCCCAGTAGAGATACTTCTGTGACGTGATGGTCCTCTTATGTCTCCTCTTCTCACTCCTGCGACGTTTCTCGGCCAGGATCTGCGTCCAGGTTCACAAGTCGTGTGTGTCAATAGGATCCATGACATAAATATACAGTTATACAAATGTTGTTCATATACTGATAATTCACACGCCCTGGGTGACCCTCAACAATTACCTGCTCAGTATGCTATATCATCCTAGGTAATTACCCGCAGGGCATCACGTCGTGCTTCGTGATCATGTGAGGTGATGTAAACAGGATTTGAAAAGAAAACAAACACAGCATGAAGTCCACAATTCTTACGTACAGGTTTATTCTATTCGAATACCTTCTCCTCCCCTTCAATTGCCTACATTCTAATCGGTATCATTCCTCCACACTGCCATCACCCTCAACCCTGCCCCACCACACTGCCATCACCCTCAACCGTGCCCATCACGCTGTCATCACCCTCAACCGTGCCCCATCACACTGCCATCACCCTCAACCCCGCCCCATGACACTGCCATCACCCTCAACCGTGCCCAATCACCCTCAACCCCGCCCCACCACACTGCCATCACCCTCAGCCCCGCCCCACCATAATGCCATCACCCTCAACACCGCCCAACCACACTGCCATCACCCTCAACCCTGCCCCACCATAATGCCATCACCCTCAACCCTGCCCCACCATAATCCCATCACCCTCAACCGTGCCCCATCACACTGCCATCACCCTCAACCCCGCCCCACCACGCTGCCATCACCCTCAACCCCGCCCCACCACGCTGCCATCACCCTCAACCCTGCCCCACCACCATCACCCTGCCATCACCCTCAAACTGTGCCCCATCACGCTGCCATCACCCCTCAACCGTGCCCCATCACACTGCCATCACCACCTCAACCCCAACCCCACCACACTGCCATCACCTTCAACCGTGCCCCATCACACTGCCATCACCCTCAACCCTGCCCCACCACACTGCCATCACCTTCAACCGTGCCCCATCACACTGCCATCACCCTCAACCCTGCCCCACCACCCTGACCATCACCTTCAACGGTGCCCCATCCACACTGCCATCACCCTCAACCCTGCCACACCACACTGCCATCACCTTCAACCGTGCCCCCCACACTGCCACCACACTGCCATCACCCTCAACCCCCTGGCCCCACCACACTGTCATCACCCTCAACCCCCCGCCCCACCACACTGCCATCACCCTCAACCCCGCCCCACCACACTGCCATCACCCTCAACACCGCCCCACCACACTGCCATCACCCTCCCAACCCCGCCCCACCACACTGCCATCACCCTCAACCCCGCCCCACCACACTGCATCACCCCTCAACCCCGCCCCACCACACCGCAACCCTCAACCACACCACACTGCCATCACCTTCAACCGTGCCCCCACCACACTGCCATCACCCTCAACCCCGCCCCACCACACTGCCATCACCCTCAACCCCGACCCATCACACTGCCATCACCCTCAACCCCCCCCCACCACACTGCCATCACCCTCAACCCCGCCCCATCACACTGCCATCACCCTCAATCCCACCCCACCACACTTCCATCACACTCAACCCCGACCCATCACACTACCATCACCCTCAACCCTGCCCAACCACCACATCACCCACCCACCCCTACCATCCCATCACCCCCACCCACCCCCCAACTTCACCACAACCCTCTCGCCAATACAAACACCTCCAACATCCTCACCACCTCACCCTAACCCTACCCTAATTTTACAACTCTCACGCCAATCCCACCACCACCACCACCACACCACCACCCACATCGTGTCGCCGCCTCACCCCGCTGCCCCCCGCACACTAAACGGCCCCTCCCGCAAAGATCCGGGTTAGAACTGATCTTCAATAACCCATGTCGTAAGAGGCGACTAACGGGATCGGGTGGTCAGGCTCGCTGACTTGGTTGACACATGTATGTCATCGTATCACAATTGCGTAAATTGATGCTCATACTGTGGATCACTGAATTGTCTGGTCCAGATTATTTACAGACCTCCGCCATAAAGCTGCAATATTGCTGAATGCGGCGTAAAACTAAACTCACTGACGAACGAAACGGCCCACACTGGAGTAGTTGCTTTAGTAGCAGACCCTACCTGGTCCATCTGGTCTTGACCAAAGATGAGATTCTTCACACTCTTGCCGTAGAGAGCCTCTGCTACCTGCAGTCCCCATCTCTCGCCCTCTTCCACACTGCCATATGCCAGCAACGGGTCCACGGTACTAGTCTGTGAAATGAGAGAGTGAGTGAGTTTAGTTTTACTAAAGAAATATTCCAAGAATATCACGGCGGGGATACGCCAGAAATGGGCTTTAAACACTGTACCCACAGCGTTCGAAATTAACCCCTCCGATCCACAGCTTTTGTTTTCTGCATGTTCTTATGGTCGACAGCTTTTTCATCCCCAATAACTAAGATTATTATTTTTTAGAAAGTATCATTCAGTAATTTCCAGTTTTTTCTCTCGATCAGCACCTGTTGTCTGTAAGTGAAACGGCAGTCATTTTCGAGAAAGCAATTGAAATTACTGAGATAATTATGATCTTTGAACTCTTTAACTCAAAGATGACGTTGTCACGTTTACTGTTTGCTGGGAATTACTTATATTGTAGCTACAATATAGGCCCTACACATTCTAATCAGGACCCACAACTCGCTCCAGTTATTAGGCTAGCCAACCGCATCGAAAAGACAGAAATCAGTAGGGCTGCGCAATATAACCGGTTTACCGGTATTTACAGGTTCAGACATGAAAACGATACGTATTGCGATACGCTGATCGAAAACCGATATTTTGACATGCAATCGGAAAACTTCCTAACACTCGGAAATCTTCGGATATTTCCGTTTTTAAATTGTTCCTTTCCTTGTTTCATTTGTGCCAAACATTATTTACATTTTTATTTTGTCATGATTAAAAGTTTTTATCAAAGCCTAATCAAGCATTGTTGTGTTTTTGCTTTATAAATCAAGCATTAACTCGACTATAAGTAGTTTTTTGTTAAAAAAAACTTCTAGCAATATATTGCAATACATATCGCAATACATGCTTTCGTATCGCAATATATCGCAATATATCGCAATATGAAAATTCCCTGCAATACCCACCCCTAGAAATCAGGTTAGTGTTTCATCTATCTTGTTACTGCATTAACCACTTTATTCTACCGACTGACTGACTGACTGAGTTTGGTTTTACGCCGCTTTTAGCAATATTCCAGCAACATCACGGCGGGGGGACACCAGAAATGGGCTTCACGCATTGTACCCATGTGGGGACTCGAACCCGGGTCTTCGGCGTGACGAGCCAACGCTTTAACCACTAGGCTACCCCGCCGCCCTTATTCTACCGAAATGTGATTGAACATAAAATCACAATACACCTCTGATTTAGAGAGTTGAGGTTTATATAAAGCACCATCAAGAGATTTTGATAATTTGTATAATTGTAGGTTGCAAAACATAACTTTGTGATTCTACTAGATCGGCAAATCTATTTATGGTAAGCCGTAAAACAGTGCCTATAGACTGGGTTGGAACATGACGTAATATTTTGAGTCAGTGAATAAGGTTTTACGCCGTTTATATTAATATAGAAGCAATATCACAGGGGACACCAAGCATGGGTTTTACATATTGAACCCATATGGGGAATCGAACCCGGGTCCTTGGCGTGACGAGCGAGCGCTTTAACCACTAGGCTATCCCATCTCCCCCGTAATATCTTGTACTTTCTTCCGACGCAGTTCATGTTGGCTAAACATTTTAATTGCCTGATGTATTTATGAGTAGTTTAATTATGTAAAACATTAATGAAACATTGATATTCGAGTGAATGTTGCATATTCTGACGTCCTACGCCACTATATCGCTATAATATTGCTGAAGCCGGCATACAACAAAAACCCATTAATGTATTCTCGTTCAGAAGTTAGGTAAAACTGGTCCCTGAGAAAAGTGAGGTGAGGTGAGGTGAAATTGGGTTTTACGTCGTGCTTGAGAATATTTCGCTCATATGACGACGTGCATGTGTGTGTATGTGCGGCTGCTTGTACTAGCCCAGACTGAAGCTGGTTTTATAGTGCTAGCCCACTGATATACCATGCCGCAGTGAAGCATGAATACCCCACTCAGACACATTATACTGACTCCGAGCCGACCAGTCCTTGTTGTACCCATTAATGCCGAGCGCCAGGCAGGTACCAACAAGTACCATAGTTTAACGTCTTTTGGTATGACGCGGTCGGGGATCGAACCCGCGACCTTCCGCACTCCGGGCGGACGCTCTAACCACTACACCACGGAGGCGGTCAGAAGTTAAACTGGTCCCTGAGAAAAGTAGTAAAGGTACCTCAATAACAAGTCGTCCAGTTACCCAATGCCTTAGCATGAAACTAGAATTTGTCAGAATCTGTTTAAGTTGATTTCCTCTGACAGAACGCTCGTCTACAAAACGACAGAAATTTTCACCCTTGATTTATCACTGTGATATATTGAACAATAATTAATATCAGTTTGCCTGGAAATATCATTCCAGTTATTTTTTTGACCCAGCTGATGACTGGGTCAAAACGTTAATGTCACTAACTGACTGACTGAGTTTAGTTTTACGCCGCTTTTAGCAATATTCCAGCAATATCACGGCGAGGGACACCAGAAATGGGCTTCACACATTGTGCCCATGTGGGGACTCGAACCCGGGTCTTCGGCGTGACGAGCCAACGCTTTAACCACTAGGCTACCCCGCCGCCCCGTTAATGTTACTAAGTTGTGGACAGATCGAATCAACGCGTATTTGTGAGCTACTACTCACCCCGTTGAATTGCGTGTCGTTGAGAAACGTGTATCCTGTGCACGAGGACGCCGAGAGCAGAAACACCAGCAAGGGAGCACAGAACGTCATCGTCCACATTTCTGAAAAATATGGCACTATTATTGTCAACTAAAAAATAGCATTTTCGTACATATTCACATGCGATTCTGGGTAGGTTTCATAGAAATCTAATTAACGGCTAATAAATGAAAAATATTGAGAGCAGAAAAAGTTCTGAGTGACATGACATTTTAAAAGGCCAAATAAAGAGAATGACAAAATTTCAAGTGAATATGAAATTTGTGACTTATCCACCTCTGCATGATTCTGTGATAAATAACCTGTCATAGTACAAGGAAAATGGAGTCGAATGTTGTCTCAGTGCAGTATTTGATAACAGGGAAAATTGAGAGACTCCTCATCGCATTATCATAATGATAATAATAAGAGTGCTGCTGGAATATTTTAATGTATTATGGTTATTCTGACGATGTAAGGAAAGAGCTGACCATAATGTCAGTACAGTTAGAAAATGTGGTTTATGTATGATATAGATCATGGTCATCTCAGGTTACCTTTGAACAACCTCAAGGAGTAAGTGAGTCAGTCAGTCAGTCAGTCAGCGAGTCAGTCAGTCGGCGGGGATCACCAGAAATGGCCTTCACACATTGTACCCATGTTGGGAATCGAACCCGGATCTTCGGGGTGACGACCTGACGCTTTAACCACAAGGCTACCCCACCGTACCGAAACGTAATTGAGACACATTATGATTACATTAAGGTGTAGCGAGTATGGAACCATCGTATGAAGGTTTGTAGATACATAAGCGAGCGAGTATGCTTTTACGCCGCTTTTAGCAACATTACAGCATTATGAGGGTGGGGACACAAGATATATGCTTCACACATTGTAGGCATGTGGGAAATCGAACCCGGGTCTTCAGCATGACAAGCGAACGGTTTTACCGCTAGGCTACCCCACCTCCCTGTAGATACATGATGATGATGATGATGATGTTCATGATGATGTAAATCATCCACACACTATATATCCACACGTATATCTACCCTCACCTTGTCACAGGTTTCAATTGATGATCGATACTTCATCAAAGTATCGCATGTTCTCCCAACCACGACACAACACACGACAGAAGCTCCGTTCAGCCAAGAGCCCACATCTGGGGCGGGATTGAGACAACGTACGTTTAACACAGACCTCTAAACACCAGTGTCACAAGTTCACAGACGTGTATGACTAACGAAATTACGTGTCAATACTGCCGACCTAACTGGGAACAGGAAATAACACAATAATTGAACTATCGTACCCTTGTGTCGCCTTATCTCGATTTTACATACCATGCGTCGAGAACTTTACATCCCGTGTGTCGAAGAGTGAGTCACATACGTCTGATGTATGGAAGCTGTCTAAGGTAGATGGACACCTAAAAGTGTATCATCCTATTCACTGTAGAAATTGTAGCTGACCTCATCTTGTACTACAGCCGTGATGGCGGAGACGGCAGGACGTGACCTCCATTCACGTTCTTCCGCTATAGCTGTACTGTGATGTATTTACATGTGTCACGCCTCGCTACACTACACCGTACACTACACCACTCTCCGTACTAATACTCCTTCAGAATAGTGGATCTGGTATACATATGTATGTGTACAAACACGACTGAAACTGACCGTTCGATCAGTCTGCATCGACTCTGTGAGTGAACAGCTTGCATATATCAGCTGATTCTGATACTTAAATTACATCATACACATAGTGGTAATATAGCATAAATTGTTTGTGGTATAAGTAGCTCAAATTGTATCTGACTTTGAAAACAAACTTTGTATGCATGTTCTTTAGAAAATTAATTCTCCGATACACCGGATTACGAGGTTTCTGGATTAGCAAGGTCGGGCGTTTCGATCTGCCGCGTCATACCGAAAGGGGTTAAAGATGGCACTCCCCTTGAAGCGCTCCTTTTGAAATTACCTACCATGAATTTTGTCTAGTTAAAGGGGTCTTTCACAGCCTTAAGCGAGTTTTTGCCTAAACATGTGAAAAGTATGAAACAAGGAACCTGTTTCGATGAGTAGTTTGGAGTACATTTTGTACAAACTGTTTGAGAGGCATTCTGATAGTGTTAAGTAATAGGAAAGACCAGTCTTTATGGATTCATGCTAGAAAACGGTATAAGTATCTCTACCGAAACGTCGCTAAATAGTGCACAATAAAGAAGTTGATCATCCATAAGACGTGTCACCTCATCTTATCTCATTGCACCTCACCTTACCTCACCTCACCTCATCTCATCTCACCTCACCTCAACTAATCTCACCTCATCTCATCTCATCTCACCTCATCTCACCTCACCTCATCTCAACTCATCTCATCTCATCTCATCGCACCTCACCTCAACTCATCTCAACTCAACTCATCTCACCTCATCTCATCTCATCTCACCTCATCTCACCTCATCTCAACTCAACTCATCTCATCTCACCTCACCTCAACTCATCTCATCTCATCTCACCTCACCTCAAATCATCTCACCTCATCTGACCTCAACTCATCTCATTTCATCTCACCTCACCTCATCTCACCTCACCAGGATACGGGCCAACAAGACACGGTATTTGTGGCATCTCAATTTAAAATAGCAACAAAGTAATATAACCACTTACTCTCACAACATAAAACAACAAAAGGACAACAATAAATGGCAACCTGATTTACGTCTGGTTTCTCGATTTCACTTCGAATTCTGAACAACTGTTGTCAGCAGAAACCATCTCCTGCTTGCCGCAGATGAACGGTTTACCGAGGTTCGTCTATACACAGCAAATACAGTAACACGGGCGCTAGCCAGATGTTTGAAACGAAATGCAAATTAAGAAAAAAACAAACTGAATAATAAACTCATGCGTTCTCGGGATACCAAGATCCACGTTACACATATCAATAATCCATAACGAAATATATTCGCTTGAGTCATCAGTCATTCGTGTAAATACGTCATATCGCCAGAAGGCGACACGCCCAAATCAATTGGAATCAATCCACAAGCAATTCATCATACAGCGAAACCCCGTTTATCCGGACACTCAGCGGGGAGCGCCTACATACAGCGTCAACGTTGAACGTCTTCAAACAAAAAGGCGTTTTTTCTGGTCGTATGGTGTTAATCACCGAATACCTCGAACAGTTACAGCTTACGGCGTATGCATACAATTCAGTTCTATATTTACGTTGAGCTGTTTTCAGTTAAGGTTTGAAGTTGACGTTCATCGTTTGATGGAGACAGTGATTCACGTGAGCACATATTTTCCATGAATTTGCTCACGTGAGGCACTGTCTTCATCAGCTGATGAAAGTAAACAAATATTGTATTATATTGACAGTAACGTAAATCATAACAAAACAATGTATTCAAAACCAAACGTAAATGTTTAAAGCGATCTATATCAACACTTTTATCGCGACGTCATCCGTCCCAAACATTCCATTTGGAGTTACGTCCCTTAGTATTAAAAACGTTTCAAAATGGCGGCAGCGTTCACTTGAAATGGAAGTTACACCCATTGGAATCGGAACTGGTGGGACATCCAAACCCGGGTGGTGCTAGAAATGGACCCTCGTGAACCTTCGCTGTGTGTTAGGGTTAAGCCAGGGCTGGATGAGTTGCTGAGGAAGGAGTCTAACGCTTGAGGCGGGCGATTTCATATTCCCGTGGCCACACACGGCAGCGTGAAGCCATGTGATTAGTTTTAGTTAACAATTGCTACAGCTACAAATGAACACTTCGTTTTGGTGATCCTTCATATATACATGATCTACCTTAAAGGTTGTATAATGACAGGGTTCCAATGGGACGTTATTTCTAGGAATTGAGGAATTCCCCAACGCCGTGTAGTCTAACTCTCCGCTAACTTCTCATCATGCGACATATTGATGTTCATGGAGAAATCAACAACAGCTGGCTTGGTAGTGACTATCTAGGCGAGGTCTGCCACTACTGTCAATATCATATAAATGTACAGTTGAAAAATGCTATATATTGTTCCTTTATATAGACAAGTTGAAAGTAGTACGTAATGTACAGGCGCATGTTACAATTGGAAACTTTAGGATATACTTCCTTGAAAAATTTAACTCACGAGTTTACTTACGAAATAGAGAAACTCTACAAAATTACACTTTTGGTACTATTAATAATGGAACAAGTCAGAATACAAACCTTTTAGATGACATGGTATTCTATCCTGATTTTTAGATTCCAAAAATAATGGACATTTCTTCCTTAAGTGACATTTAGAAGCTGGTATGATGAAGTGGAACACTTTTTATGGATAGACAACTTCTTTGTTGCAGTAGTTGTAGTAGTTGCAACACTACTGCAACAAAGAAGTTGTCTATCCATAAAAAGTGTTCCACTTCATAATGGACATTTTCAACATCACAACAATCAAATTATGTTCGGGTTTTGGCAAACGTACCTGTGGCTAAAAGCCCTGTTGGTCAAAAGCCGACATGGGCAAAAATAGCCCCACTTGAATACAAGCCCCGTGTTTGTTATACAACATGTACCGGTTCACAAACATTTCCATGAAACAAAACAAACAGGCTTCCCATTTGGTAAAGAAGACGAACTCTACCCCTTCTATTTGACATAACCTTACAGTGGAACCATATCTGGGGACGGTTCTCGCTCCAGTTCAACTGATTTATGAGATATAGGCGTAATTCTTCAAGGAGACGTATACAATTTCTCATAGTGAACAATACGGCCTTGGAGTTGTTGAAGAACCATAAAGATGGAGTTACACTTAGCTGGGAGACCAACCGAGAGATGAAAGAACTAGAGGGGACTCCTGAACTTATGTACAAGAGACAGTAAAATCTGTGGGTAGGCCGCAGTGTCAACACACCCATGGATGGGTTCTGAGTCGCACAGCATTGTTTTGATGTTGGTACAACATTCGCCTTGAAGGTTGAATCTTCATGAAACGTTATGTTTTCTTCAGTAATTTTTTTATTGAGGAAAAATAAGAAAAAAATGTCTTCAACATAATTTATGTTTTCTTTTACAAATAAGGGAAATTATCCTCGTGGGGATTTTATCCTATGGGTGTTTGTCCGGGGTGGCTTTTCACCTACTGGTGATTTAACCTATAGGGCGTATATTCACAAGTGGGGTTTGAAAGCCCTCAGCCTTTCAGTAATATGTAACCTTATATATCTTCAAATTTCTATTAATAACATTTATCTGAATACCTTGTTAGAAGAGTACTAGACCTTTCTTTAATTTTAAAGAACTTACTATTTTGTTGAAGTTTAACATTTTGTCTTAATACCTTGATCAAGTATTATAACTGCTTAATAACTGGCAAAACACTTTCATATTTGTTTTTATTATTCATCATTAATCTATTTTTGGAAGGGGTGTCAGCCTAATATCTCTGTCACCAGTACTGTTCAATATCTTCCTTACCAGATCGCTTACCTTTTCATATGCAGCTTTCATTTTCGAAAACTCATAACAATCTTTTACAATGCAATTATGAATATCTATTATCTAACACCAATATTTAATATTGTGTTATTTTAAAAGGAATTCGCCCAAGTTCGGAATCAATCATTTTATGTGTACACGTATGTTTACAACAATCACGACAGTCTTTTTTCAGCTTTATTCGCCTTAAAGACAGTACTCGAGAAGCTTAACAAAGTATACTGTCAAACCCTTTCTTAACAAGTAATAATCAAACGACATTCCTGTTTATTAAAAAATACCAATAACATCGATTATTATCATAAAGGAACTTTCCCACACTTCTTGTATTACTCCATTTCCACATACAGTGGTCTTAGTCCAAAGTTGAATGAGCTAAAAGATCGTCTAAATACAAATTACTTCAGTCGAAGATATGTATCCAGGATAGATATCCTATAATGCTGACAACGAGAGTTGGAGCTTTGAGCCTATACATAAAATGAGTCATTGTCCCCTAGAATTGCCCAATAGCTATATATCGTTAATCCGGCTAAACAGTGTATCTCGAATAAGCAGTATTTCAGATATAAACACAAGACTGGAAAAGTATTTACCCGAGCAGCAGAATCTCTTATGATCCGACTTCCGTGTTGAAATAGCCTGAGGTGGTAGGAAATTATCTGACACTCAGCAATGTTATAGAGTTATCTTATTCCGTGAAATATACTGGACGGTCGGTCTGACTGTTATTCAATACACCAGATAAACCGGTTCAGGTTTTGCTCAACTGAACTTCAAACATGACAAGACTTTAAACTGCTTTAAGAGCAGGCATAATATACTGTTTACGGTCAATGAAAACACATGAAGCGATTTAGAGCCAGTTCTTAACGGGACCGTGGCTGCTTTGTATCAAGTTTTAATCAAAGAAGATCTATATTCTCCCCTACATATCAACGAGTTCGTCATAACCGGGGCAGGTCAGTAGTTCTATAGTGAAAGGTGACGTTTAGTCATGAAAGACCTCGTGTTTACCAACAAAGACCCCAGGGCGTGTGTCCTCCTCGTCAATCATACAAACTAGGTCAGTGTGAC